GCTGATTCGAGGTCGGAATTTTAGTTCACATTTTTGCCGCAAGAGGGCCAAAATTTATACAAGGTTTAGTTCCTTTTTTTTAATCCAGAGGGCGCTGATTCGAGGTCGGAATTTTAGTTCGCATTTTTGCCGCTAGGGGGCGCTTTTTTCGGGAAAAATTATAAGGGAATAATATAAGGAAAACAGAGTTGTAAGAGGAACAGACATTTAAGGGATAGGGAGATGTAAAGGATTGAAGGGTGTAAGGGTTGCAGAGATGTAAAGGATTGAAAGGTGTAAGAGTTGCAGAGATGTAAAGGATTGAAGGGTGTAAGGGTTGCAGAGATGTAAAGGATTGACGGGTGTAAGGCTGGCAGAGATGTAAAGGATTGAAGGGTGTAGGGGTTGCAGAGATGTAAAGGATTGAAGCGTGTAAGGGTTAGAGTGATGTAAAGGAATGAAGGGTGTAAGGATTGCAGAGATGTAAAGGATGCAGAGATATAAAGAAAGCAGGGATGTGAGGAATGCAGAGATGTAAAGGATTAAAAGGTGTAAGGGTTGCACAGGCTGGCAGAAATATAAAGGATTAAAAGGTGTAAGGGTTGCACAGGCTGGCAGAGATGTAAAGGATTAAAAGGTGTAAGGGTTGCAGAGATATAAAGAAAGCAGGGATGTGAGGAATGCAGAGATGTAAGGCTGGCAGAGATGTAAAGGATTGAAGGGTATAAGGGTTGCAGAGATTTAAAGGATACAGAGATATAAAGAAAGCAGGTTTGTGAAGAATGCAGAAATGTAAAGGATGCAGGGATATACAGAAAGCAGAGATGTAAAGGATGCAGTGATGTAAGGAATGCTGGGATGTAAGGAGTGCCGAGATATAGAAGATGCACACAGGAATAATAAAATCAACACGTTTATCCTCCTAATGAGTTTATTCAGTAAGCTAAGAAGATAAATACAGCAAATTAAATGAACGCAAAAAATAAAATAATGTGTATGTATGTATAGCAGGTAGATCTGCACCCGTCGACGGTCGCTATGAGACTGATGATGTTTCACTTCGCTCTAGGTAGAACGGTTGATAACAGTGCCGCAGCCAACTACCTTTACTCGCATCAGTGGCTGTAAATTTTTTGTTTGTTTAACATGGGGCAATCTTGCGTAAGACCCCTCACCGTCCCCTAGGAGAGGACGGCGGGAAAGTGTCAGATTCCTACTTACCAAAACCCCTCGGCGACCGACACTGGCGCTAATCGAGAGCTCTGAGACCTTATGTATATTTCAGGGGTGATCCGAATCAAGACCACCGAACATTGGTGTAGCCAACACCGGGGGTCGCACCCGGTACCAGCTTGTCGGACCGCTTACAAAAACGCTCGGCCTTGACGGCCCTGCCGTGTTTGGTGGTGAAGCCCTGATATTTAATGTTAAAAAGGGTTGGTTCAACCACCCCTTGCTGCTCCTGTTATTGCTGTAATGTGGCAAATCTGAACTCGAGACACTGACTGATACGGAAAACTACCCAAGTGTTACACTCACTTATTAATGAAACTGCCAGCTTGTAGAGCTCGTCGAGCTGAACACGCCTATACCCCGTTTTGTGGACATACAGCTAATTGTTTAAAAGATATTAATAATTAAAATTAGTTACTACTTACATTGAGAAGTATGACAGACTCACACATACAAACGGTTAACTCTGGTAAAACGCTTCACTCGCAATCTAAAGGTCCACGGTTCAAATCCATGGTTCCTAAGTTTTTTTTTTAAGTATAATTTGTCTCTTTTTGAATAACTATTACAGCTGTGCTATAATAATTGCATTTATTAATAATTAATTATATACCCTGCAATTTTTATACAATTTAAGTTATTCAAAATAGAATATAGAATTTTAGTTATTCAAAAAGAGACAAATTATCATTTAAAAAAAAAAAAAAAAAAAAAAAAAAATGAAAAACTGGGAACCAAGGATTTGAACCGAGGACCTTTAGATTGTCAGTCATGTGTTTAACCACGAAGGGGATCCATGACTCCCAATCTGAAGGTCCTCGGTTCAAATCCTTGGGTCCCAACAATTTTTTTTAATTTTTTTTTTTATGATAATTTTTATGTAATAGTTATTCCAAAAGAGACAAACTATCATTAAACAAAAAAAAATGTTGGAACCAAGAATTTGAACCGTGGGTCTCTAGATTGCGAGTTGTATGTGTGAGTTTGTCATACTTCAGTATGTAAGGAGTAACTGTGATTGTTAATATCTCTTAAGCAATTAGCCGTCTGCCCCCAAAAGTGGGTATAGGCGTGTTCAACTCGATGGGCTCTACAAGTTGGCAAAGTTTCATTAATAAGTGAGTGTAACACTTGTGAGTGATAGGATACAGTCTTTGATATCAAAATACTCTGCTATTTCCATCAACGTGCGTTAGACTGTTGCAGTGGGAAGTGTTTCAAGCTCGTTCTCAAGGAACAAATTCAAAACCGCTTGAAAACGAAGTCATGTCTAGTCTTGTTGGATCTGTAGTCACCGCTTTCGAGAAAACGACGCACGATTCCGCTGTCGCGTTTCTTGCTGCACGACGAGACACACTCGTGCAATTGAATGGCTGTCCTTTAATCTTTAAACCTTTAGCCGGGATCGATATCCCTCGTTCGTGGATGTTTATGGAAATTCGTATGTTTGAAACAAACAAGCCGTAGAAAGGGCGAAACGTCGCAGGAATATTAAAACGTTTCGTTTCGCGCAGCCAAGTTAGGTAAAAGTTTTCGCGTTCCTTTATTATTCCGTCCAGGTATCACATCATCGTAGATATAATATCCTAGCGAAATATAATATCTGACGCGCTTTGCTAATCCTCTTGCAATCCATAAATCCCACGGTTGCAACCTACTATGCACTTGCAAGTTAAGAATTAAAAACGTTCGTCATGGTAGGCTAACGAGCACGGGCCGGCCCGGCCAGGCTTCTGTCCCACTTAAATTGCCGTGCAGAGTAGAGCACAGCTGGCCAAGCCACACTGCAAGAATGGAGTTTTGTTAATTATCCGACGAAAACAGCAGGCCCGCTCCCACGCTCCGCCACTATCAAGTAAAACGTCACGTGCGAGAAAACGTTGCCTCGCCGAACCCCCACACCAAGAATTAACCTGCAAGATTTTCACCCTGCCTTTCTTTTTATGCTTTCTTTCTTTTCCCAGCGAACGTGCCAAAGCCACCTCATAACCTTTCGTTTTCGCTTTAAATGCCAACTTTATTTATCGATCATCTTATCGTTAGTAACCCGGATCGAAAGAGAAGCCAGTAAAGAATTCTTTCATTCGTTTCCGCGTAGGAAATCTATACTTTTCGAAGGTGTGATAATTTTAATGCTCTCTACGTTAAACCCTTTTACTGCAGCTGAAAAGACTTCGCAAATAGTTAACCACGTAGACTTGTTCTACAACTGGCAACAGCACAGTTTTAAAAAACGCTAAAATAACAACGGTCAGCAAATCGCGCCGCTTAGTACACAGTAATTTCCCCGTAGAGATATAACGCGTTTCTTCTAACTTCATAGTTAACTTAAATCCACGGACAACCGTTTGCGGAGCCTGTTTTCTCTGCTTCTGTGTACGGTTTACCGCGGTGCATTGCCTGTACATAGAAAGAAGGAAAAAGAAGAAAAAGATTGGGGGATAATGAATAGCCGCGAAAGGACGATGAAGCAGTCGTTGCGCGACACAGTATGGTTAATCCTTCGCTCTAATTTGCGCTTCTTCAGCCGGTTGCTCCGCGACGGTTTCCGGTTCACCGTGAAAATAATAAAAAGAGAAGCGAGAAAAATCTGGTCTATGGAACGCGCAAGATACATCGCTGCAAACGTACGTTTAAGAAAAAGTGCTTTCTTAATTAGGCACTTGGCTTAGTTAGCTGGTCGAATGAAACTTGTTATCTAAAGGACAATTCCAGGTAAAGGACGCTTTTTAATTGAGGCAGCTCGATGAGAAGAGTTTGTTAGTTAGTTAACTAGTTGGATCGAGAAAGGCAAGCTAAGAAAATCCTAACGAACGAAACTTGCAGAATATTCTTACAGCCCTAACATGCTGGCTACTCGATGTATCATTCGTTTATCCTTCTTGTTAACCGATCTTAGGTATTATTTTGGCAGAGTGGGACAGAAGCAAAGTATTGTAGTGGTATGTGCTATAGTTTGCGCTATTTACGAATTAGAGAAACTCGAAAATTCTCTAATCTGATTAGGAATAGATAAAAATAAACAAATACTTTTAAATAAATTCATTTTCATTCAATATAATTACCTCAATATTTAATTAATTCATTAATAATAGTCGTTCAATGATTGGAATAATAATAATAATAATTAAATACAAAATACTGTCAAAAAGACATTAAGTGCCTTGCCTTCTTCAGCCACTTCTTCACAATATATTGTTTCTGTCCCTATCTACCTCGATAGTACCCGAACATTAGAGAAGCTGAAGAGAAGCTTTTACCTTCTCGTTGAGCAAGGAGAGGAGGTAAAATTGAACGCATCCTTGTTAGATCGAGGAAAATGATGAGGTGTAACCGTTATCGAATCTAGCCGGTTAATTAGACGATAGAGAATTTCGCAATTATCGTTACGTCTCGGCAACGTTAACGTTCGATCGTTACTCGAAAAGCTTGTCGAACGTTTCGTAATGATTATTATCGCGCCATTTGGATCGTTCCGCGGTTACGGATGTTTATTAATGCACTCGGATATAATACGATTTATAATGTTGGTCGAGAGCGAACGATCGAATCGATTATTACAGCGTGGCAGCGCATCGTTTAATTACTACGCCGATAATTTTATATAAATTGCCGTTGTTCATTTGTCAATCCCCAGTTCCTCGTAAATTTCGTCGAAGCTGACTCGCTAACGGCGTCGCGACCGCGCTGGAATTTGTTAATTACGCGTAGCTCGTTTAAACGAGCCTTTACTATCTCCCATTACTACTACGTACCACTAATTATCCCTGAATTTATGTTTGTTCAAGGACAAGACGCTGGAATCGTGCTATCACCGTTGATAGGTGTGGTGGTCGGAGCGTTGGTCACGTTGGTCCTGATCATCCTAGTGGTAGTGGTCAGAGTACGACGGGAACGAGTCTCGAAACCTCGACACGAGAAACCGGCGGAACTTAGCGAATTACCTGCACAACAATATCCGCTGCAAAACACTCAACAAACCGTGGAAACCGATCCCGACGTGATTCCAAATAAATTTGGTCAGTTAACATCTTATTAAGATGACAACAGCTAACTCGTTGTTATTAGTCGAATCACGAGGACGTAAATTACCCAATTACCAGCCTCTGTAATAATCGCTTAGTTAACGGTGAAAATTGGTTAAACTGTAGGTTGTCGGTGAAACGCGTTAACACGGTAACGCTTGTCGCTCCGTCTAAACGATGACTTAATCAGAACCCAACGGTGTTCGTAGAAAATCGAATCGATCAACGGGTCTGGATTTCCAAATAATAGGCAGGAAACGGTCTCGCAACGCGCAGTTAATCTAATTGCGCCCGGTGCTACGGGCACACGCCACGATTTGTAGTAGCTGCATGTATAGATTTTATTCAATTACCGTGGCTTACACGGACGCGGCAACAACGCTATATCATCGGAAAGATAAAAGAGATAAAACCGATACAACGAGAATATTTTTCACCAAAATATTTTCCATTTACCAGTGGAAACACGCGTAGCCTTTTTTTTTTCATTGAACTTGTAAGTCCCGGTTACGCGTTACCTTCGTCTAGTCAAACACGTTTCCGATTTGGATGTTGCAGAGGGTAGCTTGGTCGAAGTGAGCCCGCCGAGTTATCCAGGTGGATATCCCCCGGGACACTGGGTCACGCCGGGACCTACGCCAAGCATAGACGAGCTCTGCCACAAATTCAGTGGAAGACCAACGGAGCTGAGGTTACCGTCGAGAAGCACGATACCGAGTTTACAGAGCATGTCCATGACGGGAGTGATGGTAGGCGGTGGACAGGGTGTGCTGGTCAGTGGCGCCGGCAGCGTGGCTGGCGTGGGTGGCGTGGTCGGTAGCGGGCAGGGCGTCGTAGTCGCTGGAGAATGCCTGGACGGCGAAGCGATTAAGAGACGATTAATGGCTAACAGGCTGCCAGAGAGTTGCGTTTAGACCTTTTCGCTAACGCGTTCGTCGTTTCCTGTTCAATCGACCTCGACGATTCCCGTAGCCAGTTTTCGAATTCGAGCCTCGCCGCGACCACTGACCACCCACGCGACCATTCGAATCGCGAGGATCACCCTCTTCGAGCACGAACGAGCGAGAGTCGTCGAAAGTTTTATTCCAGGCGGGCAGCTTGCAGACAATCCACTTGTGTGTCGTTGCAAACGATCGTACGAAAGATGCGTTCACGAGAACTCGTGGCTAAAAACTGAGTTCCACGTGGTCAGTGTTCCATTGACTATAAAGAAACTGAATGGGTTCGTCCGATGACAATTGTCCATCAAACGTTTTTCATTCACGATTTGCTTACACGTTGCTGTCCTAATTCTTTTTTCTAACATCGAGAAACGATATCCGCCAAAATGTGTTTCGTAAACGTTTCCTCGATAGTTAAGCAACAATTTTTTGTTTCTGTTTCCCCCCTCGAAAAAGACGCTGAGCGAAACGGGAAAAGAGTTAGGTGAAAAGTTGCTCTCGAGTTTTTCACCTGGGTAAAGAGGCTGCAAAGTTGTCTCCTGCTGTCGACGCAACTTTTCCTTCCTACTGTTTCCATAGGTCGACTCGAATTCCAATGATCTTCGACAGTGTCTGCTCGCATATTTCTTCTTTCCTACGTGATTCCCGTTACGGTACAAGACACACCCGTGCAAAATTTCATATCACGAACAAATAGCGACAGCTACGAGCAATGTATCGTGGATACGTCAACCACTTTTGAAATTATTATAGAGAAAGAAATGTACGCGTTGACGTTGATCAAAATTTCTTCAAACAAATTGTCCATTCGTACGAATAGATACTTGTGAGCTATAGCGGAAGGAAATCGTGGTAGACGTATACCGATCGAATCCTCCAGACATCGATACATTAGGCCAAGGTACCGCGAGCAAAGATAAAAGCTTCTTGAACGACCCCTCTTCCGGTTCCTTCGAATGAAGATGGATGGAGGAACCGTGCGAAAATGTACGTTGGATAGCAGACAAAAGGGGGGGGGGGGGGGGGGGGGGGGGGGGGGCTGAGAATATTGACACAAAGGGAGAAAAAGGGAGAGCAAACAAGGGAAGATACAGGGGGAATGAAAAGATAACGCGATGCTACTTTGCTGAGTTGTAGGAAGACGAGTGAAACGCGAGAATTTCGAAGCCGATCAATCAGCTTCGACTGCTGGAAAATATATGTGCAATAGGAGACCAGTTCCGTCGCGTTACATGAATTCTCACGTTTTCGATTAGTTTCATCAATATTATTTATCGACTGGGCAATCTTTCAAAATTTCGCAATCTATCTAATTTTAAATTAAAATTATTCTAAACGAAAATAAAAAGTAATTAATATCTGTTGGCTTCTCTCAAGAATGGTTTCTTCACTGAAAAATTAAATAAAAAATTAAGTAATGTTTTTTATAAATTTTTAAAAAATTCATCCCCGAAGAGGTTAAAATTTATCTAATACGTAATCAGAAACGAATCACTGTTCTGATTTCATTAAATCCAAACGAGCGATGAACAGGAAAAGGGATAAGGCCGAAACGAGGTGGCACGTAGAACCTTTATACTCTGGTGAAAAATTCAATTTATAAGGTCAGAAATACCGGGCTTCCAGTGACACTTTACGACGAAGTCATGAAGCTTGACGACGAAACTAGGAGTGAAAAAAAAAAACAGAAAAATGAAAAAATGAAAAAATGAAAATAGGAGAAATGTGACTAAGTGTGTCTATTCCTAAGAGAATGAAGCGTGACGAATTTCGTCCAAGACTCTCGCTCAAACTGCTGGTTCGTACTTTTAATGTGAAAAAGAGAATAATTCTGAAAGAAAACGTTAAGTTATTGTATGCGTGAAACGTCGAGTGTTTCTTTCGATGTACTTAAGAGGAAAACACGAGAAGGATAATGAAAACAGATAAAAAAAATTAACTAAAAAGTCGTTGCTCGTTAGTTAATGTCGTATCGTTGTACATAAGTATGTATCGTTAAAGAATTTTTCGATGAGATCGACTTCGAAACACAATTGCACGAACGTTTATGATCATTTTCATCTTTTTCGTTGAAAATGACGAGAGAAGGACGAAGAGAAATTAAAAATCCATGAATGGTAATGGACCTTTTTTCATCGGCGATCGTTCGTTCCGAAAGAGTGAAAGCAACCCCCGAATTTGCGCTAAATATTTGTTACAAGGACTATATTCAAAATTTCAATTTATCCGTGTTTTTGGTACTGACACGCAGTCTACGTGTACAAACTTTTATAAAAATTGTTGAATATTTGCCGTTTGAAATAGCTATTAAACGAAAACGTTTATTTTTTTTTTAAATCTAAAACATGCAGTATTTATCAAAATCGGCGTGTATCGTTGACACCACTGCGAAGGTATTGATTTTTACTCGACAGAAAACATACAGTGAGTAAGGAAAAAAATATGGAATGCAATATTTTATAGTTAATATTGTTTGAGGCTTTTTCGAGTGTAAACCGCGAGGCGGAAAAAAAATATTCCCAACGTTTCGTCAGTTGAGTTCATCAGGGGTTACAACCGAATACCTCGAACGGTATTAACTGTAACAAACCGAGTTGAAACATTCTCAAAGCTTTCGAAATAAATTTTTTTTTAAGCTTCTGTTTTTTTAGAAAAAATATCAAAGTGTACACTTGCAAACGATAAAAAGATAGTTCAATTTGAATATCAATATTCGATATCTATATTTTGACTTCGAGTTATATTCATAAACGCTTCGTTTGATATCCACGGATAATGTAAAATTCACTTAAAAATTTGTACATGTATAATTTTCAAGAAAATATATACAGCTTATAAAATATTTAAAAATATTGATATTTCACGATGAGATTGCTCGAAGGTAATTAAGAAACTATCGGAAATGTCCATCACCATTTAAAAAACGTTCGTGCGGTTATAAATCGAAGCGAGTCGAGACGACGTTCTTCGTCTCATCGGTTTCTCGTTAAAGTGACAAATTGACAGGTCGTTACTTACCGGAAACGCTCGACGAACAACGATCTTTGTTAATTAGAGAGTCATCGGTGCAATATAGAATTAATCTCGCTTCGACGATCCGAATCGAATCGAATCGAACAACGTTTTCTATCGAAACCCGCGGATATCCTCTCGAGTAACGACCAATCATCAAGGCTGCTTTTATTTTTTTTTTTTTTGAACGGAAAGAAACGACCTGATCAACGCGATCACACATTTTTTTCACGTCCATGAAAACATCAGCCTAACTGATGGAAATTTCACAAAAATGGAAGGAGATTTCTGTGTACGGTAAACCGAGATCATCGGTGTGAACTCTCGGACGCTCAATGTTTAATCCTTTACACTCGTATTTAAAAAAGATGATCCTTTTCTTTCGTAAACGATACTATTCGTCGTTTTTGAAGTGTAATAACGAGACAGGATGTCGGAATTATTACGAGTGCAAAGGATTAATTTCCCATAGAGAGTGAGATAGAGAAAGAAAGAGTGTGTGAGAAGAAGCGATTCATTTTTAATTCGTCGTTGTCATTTTCATTTCATTCTTCGATTTTTCAACGAAAAGAAAAAGAAAGAGAAACTCTAATGTCGATAGAGAAAAAAACAATTGTCGGCAGACAGGCGATGATTTAGAAAAATTTAGGTGGTGCAAGCGACCGAGAAACGAGTGTACATATCAAGTATGATGCGAGGTCCGTGTAAATCGACGACTATATTTTAAGTTCACTGTATAGGTGATTTCATATCAGAACTCCCATATCGTCTACTAACTCGTATGTATATACCACGTAAAGTTTCGATCTGAATAAACTGTTTAACTGTCCAAATTGTTGGCTTTGAATCATTTTCTGTCTCTGGAGAGAACCTTGCCAGATGAAATCGATGCGAAAACTTGTTCGTGGGCTTTCCAACTGGAAACACCGAAGATCCTATCGAACGAATTCCCCATGAAAATTGTTCGCACTCGACGAAAGATCGCGACAAGAATACAAGTTTGTATCGATAGATTCGCTGAAACGAGTATTATTAATTATTACCCCTTTAATTAATGACCATTAATCGACTCTAAACACGGGATTCGAACTGCGACTCTAGTCGCTCGTTAATGTTACAGGTCACAGGGGCAAAACTATGTAGCTCTTGATAACGACTCGGCGATCGTGCTGCACGTAGTTGATAAATAATGAATAAATCTAATTGCGTGATCATTTCGTGTGATAACGCTCGATGGAAGATTCTCAGAGAATATTCCATGGTAGTTAACTTTTTAACAATAGTATGCTTAATAGTAGTCTCTATTCTTCGTAGTAATTACGATACTTCGAATTCATAGTGATATTATAGTAGAGGATCCAGGATGAAATAGAAGATCAACAGAGCATAATTCTTTCGTAAGGAAAACTCCTTTGAGATAAATATTCAACGACGAAGAGAAGAGATCGACTTGATCGAATAATCTAAAATAACCTCTGGAGACCGTTAAAATATCGTTTAGCATAATCCTAAATTTATAAAAGTTCGATAGCAGCACGTTTCGGAAGGGAATCAAAGGCACAATCAGGCTGAAGATGGCAGGGGTAGGCCGAGAGGGGTTGACAGGATCGAATTCCTTAATTCCCTTGATCCTTCTTCGATCAAGGGGAAACGTCCCACGGATATTTTCTATCGTTATTTATGGAACACGTTTACAGGCACGTTCCTCGCGAACGGCAACAGCGAATAATCGAGGGAAATTAATATCCGTACCGTTCGCTAAGATATTATACTCTTCCGAATCGAATTTATGACGTTGCTCGATTTATTTCCCTGTTACGCGGGTTCGACGCGTTTAATCTGGTGAAAACCAGAAGAAAAGGAAACACGGCGTCGCAAAACGAACGTAGAGCGTAGCTCGTGTCGTTGAAATAAATATCCAGCTGGCAGGAACGGGGTTTAAAGTTTAACCGCGAATAGAGAGGGAACGCCATAAAAATCGTTTAAGATGCAAGCTCTGTAAGAAATCCCTCGCGTGCTCTACCGTTGGTTCTAAGGAAAAAAAAAAAAAAAATGAAAGAAGCCTGAACGGAATTTTAATCCATCCTTGTACCCCGTCTGCTTATATCCACCTTTTTCTTTGTTCCCTATGTAGAAATTGAGTGTCGCATTTGAAGAGTACCCTGTACTCTGTTATATTTTATTCGAACATTGAAACTTAAGAAACCACGGGACAAATTAAACGCGTTTTACCAGATAAATGAGATTCGACGTTGTTCGCTCCTTACTATGTTTACTTTTTCTTCGGGCTTTTATCTTTCACATCCACCGACTCATCGGACGCCGGTGGTTCCGGTTCCGGTTCCTCCTCGGGGGATAGAAGACGTCGAAACTGCTCCCGCAACATCGTCGACGTGTCCACGATACAACTCATGATCGCAAACACCGCGTGATTGTACGTCTGTATCACACGGTACTTGAATTCTCCCATGCGGGGCAACTGGATCTACGAACGCATTATGATTTCTATTGAATACCGGGGAATAATCGGTTCTAAGTCGAGCCGATTTTCGTGCGATATCGAACGTATCGTTCCGAACGAGTATACGCGTCTGTTAGAGGCAAGAAATGAATATACATATTATAGTAGTAGAAGTCGTTAGACGTTACTTCTTTGTCCCCGTCAGAGGAGGAGGGTGAGATCGTGGCCATTAGTCTGTAATACAGGTCTTCCACGTCGGCGCTGCTGCCCCATAAACCCTCGGAATTTGTCCAATAAATCAGTCCAGCCGCGATGCTACTCTTTAAGAGGAAGATCAAAGCCCTGCACAACCTTTGGGCCGCGGTCTTTGGCGGTGCCATTTGGGGACAATCGCAGAGCTATAGAAATATAAAAGAAATAACGCGATTGGTTACTATCGTTTCGTGAAAATTCGACGGTGTTTTCGAATCCATCTTGATTAAGAAAATTCTGGTAAATAAGTAATTATGTTGTCAACATCCTGTGTATACGAGGAGTAAACCATAGAGGTTACTAAACGCCACGACACCCACGACCGACCAGGTCACGTTCGTACGTGTTTCTAACAAGTATACGCGGAACTCCAAACTGTCCTCCTCCATTAGAGAACCATCGACGTTGCTATACACCTCTGTATACCGGACTGTCGGGCTAATTCCAGGTAAACGCAACTACGTATCGACTAAGCAATTCCCTGCAGGTGCTGGAACCACCGTCGTCTCCCTACTGCCACTCACGTCGATATCGCGCAAAGACGAGCTAAGCTCGCAACACGTGAACTGCTCGCTACTCTCGTCGCCAAAGGTCTCTTGTTAACGAGCCAATCTAACGCTGTTCGCAGAATTTCGTTAACAGAAAGTTATACCTGTAGTAACTTACGTCTCGACAAAGTTCACTTTCGTTTTTAAACCGAGATCGTTTCTAAAATATTTCTTCTTTTCCTGGCACGATATCAGATAGAAAATTTTAACCACAGGGAAGGGAACTCGTCCTAATTGGGGTTAAATTCCGATAACTTGAATTTCGACGAGACTACGCTATTTGGAAAACTTTTCTATTTGGAAAAATCGCCGCTCTCGTTAGCGAATCCTTTTCTCCGAAAAGAAGTACAATTACTAAAATTAAACATCCACTCATCTGCCGCACAGTCTGAAACATTCGACCTGATACGTGCACCCATTTCACATTTTTATATTTAATATAATATATCTCGAAAACTAAAGCGGTTAGCTCTATAAGACATAAATAATATTATCAGAAAGCATCGTGAAATGAAAACGACCAAGTTATCGGACTCGTACCCTATTCGGTTGTTGCTCACCTTTGGCGGACAAGTCCTCTGCATGTCCTTTCTCGTGCAAATTTTAATAGCGACCGGCCTCGGAGTCCAATAAGAGGGACCTGCAGATCCGACATGGCTCGGACACGGTTGCATCGCTTCCGCTTCGACGAGCTTCTGAATCCTCTTCGGTCTTATGCACGTCTCCGGGTTAGACAAATTGATGGTCTGAGCGATACACTTCGATCCCCTTTTCATCGTACCGATTCGACGTGCTTGCGCCGCACCGCTGCGATTTACCTTTGAGAATGTTCCGTGTCCTCGTTTCCGCGACGCTTCACCGAGATGAAGAATTATCCCGGCAGAGATGGGAAGGTTGAACGACAAAAGATTGCGTTCAATAGGGTTCGTCGAGCCACGAAAATTAAACACGTCGTCGACGGCGGAACGATCCTTTTCTTTTCTTCAACCGCCAACGGTTGCCGCGTGAATTTTTCACGAAACTTGAGAAATTTGGAGGGATTACGCGCGTTCACTTTGCATCTTATAACCTCGAAGGAATAATTTATCGAGGAAAAACGGTTCGCTGGCGACCAACAGCGTGGCCTTTTGTTCCGGATCGAAGGGATTTCGCTCGACGGTAAACCATGCCCCAGACAGAATTCTTTCAAATTTTCATCGTTTTCTTTCCGTTAGTGCATGTCGCAAAAATTTTGACCGATACGCGCGAGCATTCATTTGCCGGAACTTGCTTCTATATTTCTTCCCAGCCAACTTCTCGTTTATTCTCACGGATAATTAGTTATTGCGCAAACGTGGCAAACGAATTCACAGGAAGACGTGAAACGTTCGTGCCCGGATACTTCGAACAGCAGAAACGAAGGTGAGGAGGAAAGGAAAGAAGAATGGAAGAGAAAACGTCGCAGATAGGATGTTACGTATGGCAAACGTTCAGTCAAGTTTCATTCGCGAAATCCTCGGTTCGGTTCTTTCTCCTTTCGCGGACCGCTGATAAGGAAGAAGATATAAAGCAGGCAAGATTACAAAGCAGGCGAAGGAGGGGTTAGAGGTAGAGTGGTTGAAAGAGGGCTCGGTTTACTTGATGAAACGGAGTTTTCCAACGAGAGGTACGGCGCCACTTTTCCACCGCCTACGTGTTCCCCAGCAGCCACGGGAACCTCACGATTCCTTATTCATCAACGCCATTCGAAAAACTCGTGAAATTTGCATCCCGACACTCTCCTACATCCTTCGTATTTATGCACCCAAACCATCCCCCCGCGATCCTTAAACGGTGTCTCCCTTTATCAAACGACGCGCGGTCCCGCGCCAGACGCGTGCCTGCATCCGATTTCATTTTTATCGCGAGAACATCACTCTGAAAAACTTTTTGCGATCCTCGTCCGGCAGATTTATTCGTCTTATAAAGCTTCCCGAAAATATCGACCCCCCACGATCGCTGAGAAATAATGAAACGTAATACGTTGCTGCGACGCCTTATAAATTCTGCATCGAACGTTAATATAGTGCAGGCACGGGCAGCATGAACGCTCCTCGGTGCACGGGTTCAAACGAGCTACAGGAGAAAAGGTCGACGCGATATCAGACAGACAAAGCTTCTCAACATTGCGTCGCATAATCGAGTCACGTTCTTTCGTACAACGACTCGCATGCCGAGCTCACCGCGGTGACTATAGATACGAAAAGACTGGATATGCCTTTGTTCGTGATTTTGGGGAGATCCCAGACACCCTCGGATTAAGTCTGCGTGCAGAGAGCACAGTCGGTATTATAATCATGCCTGCCTTACGAAACCTTCTTTCATCGCACTTTGCATTGACAACTGAAAAGATACAATTTTGACCCCAGGTGTCCATGGGGAAAGGTTCAAAATAAGACTTCCCCCTGATGCCTACCCTTTGGCCGACACCGAGAGTCGCACCCTCTCCTCGGGCCACGTGCAAGGGCGCCCAGAACCCCCCCGCGGTCCTGACAGCCCCATCGGTTTTAGTGGTGAAGCTGTCACATCGAATGATTGAAAGGAAGGCTGGATCATCCTCCCCTTGCAGCCCTTCTTCGTTCTGTCTGTGTTTAGTAAAACGATTAGTAGAACAACCACGTTCTTCCTGAATTAAGTTTGCAGGAGCAAACTGTGCCCGTGCCTGATATAGCGAAATATTTCGAGAGAAGAATAAGTAAGGAAAACGTTTGACAGTCGATGTCAGTGAACGTTTTGGTAACTGGAGATTTTCCTTCGTTTCAACTTTCGAAATTGGAATTGAAACAGCGAAGTAATAAGAGGTTAAAAATTGGAATTACCGTAAAGTTGAAAGTTGGGAACTTTCCTAAATTAAGAGACACTTGTTCGCGGAACGCGAGTAGTTTAGATCGATCGCTAAACCCGCTCGATGCTCCGTTTATTCGACCGACATACATCACTTTTATCGCGCGATTCCACTAGCCCGATATGCTTATTAATAGACACCCAGTACCCTTACAATCTCCGTACAAAAAATATAGCCCTAATAGGGTGGAAATTCTTGATAAAAAGGGAACGAAAACGTTGAATCGGAAGAATATTTTCTATCGGGATAAATGGATAAATGGTAACTAAAACGTTATGCTGGTATAGTAATTCAAAATTCAAATTTAATATATTCGATTAAGAAGTTCTTCCGTAATGGCTCTAATAACTCTTATTATCGCGCGTCTGACCAAGCGCGACTATTACTACTGCGCCGCAGTGAAAACAATCGTGTACAGCCAGCCACGCTGTAATAACAGTTATCCGGAACACGATCGTTCAATTTTTCAATTCGAACTTTCCTCGCGATACCTTACGCAAGTAATAGGTACAATGTGACTTATGATTTAAATAAATCTTTTTCTCTTAATTATTCGATAATATTGAATTCGTGACTCGCCTCTGGCAGCCACGGTATTCCCTCAATAAAATCTAACAATTGAATTCCGGCAAAACAATTCCGCGGAATGGCGATGAAAATACTGAATGAAAAACTAGGGAAATTCTCTGGCCGAATAATGCACGACCGTCGAGCTGGAGATTTACAAACGGGAAAAGAAACATCGGAACCCGAAGGCTCGCTACAAAAAGGTGACGTTACAAGAAGGAACGCTGGTGCTCGTTGAAGAAAAGTTCGAGATACACCGAATGAAACGGTAGTCGAATACCAGAGGATAAAAACCGACAGGAGCGGGGGGGGGGGGGGAGAGAAGAAAAAATGTAGAAAGGAAAAGAACTGCTGAAGAGGTAGTAATTACGATGGAACGGGAACTGAGAATCGGATCATAACTCGACGAATAATTAATTTATAATTAAAAGGACGCTGTAAGTAAGTCGCAGAATATTTCACAGAGCATCGTGTTTTAAGAACGAGAAAAAAAAAAAGAATTGATCCTCCTGTAGTATCTCGTTTCTTCGGGAACGCACTCTAAAAGAAGTCCAACGTTCGACGAAATGAAAATAAACGACTAATTGATGAAAGAAGTAAGGTAAATCTGGTAATTTACTATTCTATTCAGAATATCATTTTTAACATGTATCTCGAAAGGTCGGAGATGTTTAAGAGTAAAAGGTCGTCGACAGAAAATCGATACCGTCGAACGAATAAAATTAGTCCGTGACATTCTGTATAGAAAAATAAATGAATCGACTGTGGTTGGAAGGTTAATCGAATTGGAAGAAAGTAGAAAGGTTAAAGCGAACGATATTCCAAGCAGTCGTTCAGAAAACGTTTAAAAGGAGACTGGAACGCTTTCGGGCCATTATTTCAGCGTGTAAATCTGTGCGACACGGATTAAAAAGCTGTATTATCGTTTCTTCCGCGCAACGACGAGATGAAAGAAAAAGGAAAAAGGAAAAATATGACCGGAAACAGGTATTACGAGACGATAAAAGGAGATTCACGATCAGCTATCGCCCGATAGGTGGACATTAAGAAAAGCACAGGGTAAAAGAGACGGTAAGGGGGTGAGTAGGTCGTAGACCTTTTAACGAAAGTATAGGTATAGCGGTAAGGAACGAAGCACGAGGGAAAAGGGACCACGGGAAACTAATTTTCGCGATATTAGTCTTACGAAATTGGTTATTGATGTTCCATTCGTCCGCCGATAATGGCGGACGGAAGCGATTCTCCGGTGAAAGGTCGTAAGTCCAGGAAGGTCGAGGATCTCGACCTATCGCGCCACCCTTGCTACCTCCTCCTGTTCGTCCTTCTTAAAGGAATTGCTTCCTTAACGGGCGTTAAATCGACTTTCCCAACCTGGTCTTCCTGGCTTTGCGATTGACAAATATTTCGTGGTCCTCTTCTTTCTCGAACCTCGCCTCTTACCATCCATCCTACCTTCCTTTTCGTCGTTCCTCTCCTCTTTCGCCTTTTTTTCCGGCCAAGAATCTTTCTCGAGGTACTCTTGCTACCTTCTGCTTCCACCTGGACGAACGCTTGCTTCGCCTCTTGGCGTTCGTCCAACAATCCGTACTACGTACACCGAGCTGGCCAAGAATGCCCCAGGAAAAGAACGAAAGAATCGATAGATTCGTGGAACGAGCGTCCACGACGAAACAACGTTTCCCTTTCCGCGCCTTACCGTTTCGACGATTATCGTCCATTTAATTCGCGACACGAGTTCCATCTTCTTCCTGAACGAATTTTCTCTCCATTAAGAGGAGATAAAAAATAGCGAGCACCGAGTGAAAATTTTTCAATCGAACGTTGTAAAGCATAAAAGATTTTACATCATTCCTGATACGGTGCTTGGTTTCCAATTTCCATCGATTTATTCGAACAAACTTCCGAAAGATTTCGATGACCAATGGTCACCTCGAAGCGACGTAAATTCTTGAGGAACCATCGACCGTCTTTTCTCGTTCGTATTCATACGCGACCGTGTATGAATACCCTTTAAAGAGGAGCAGGCGAAAGAAGCTGGCCAGGTCGATTAAGGACATTCTTAAAGAACCGTTCCAATGGGAAAGAACTTTCGTAAGTGGCGGACATGGTACGCGGTTTGGGCCCTTCTATTCGTTGAAACTTTAATCGCGTTGTCCTCGCCAATTTCTCGGTATTGCTCGTCGAATTAAGCCATGTTAAGTACTGCTAACCTTCTTTTCTAAGTTTCAAACTCGCCTGACGCTGTAGAGCTAGTCTAAAAGAACCCTTGAGAACAATTTCCGATTAGTATGTGACCCATAAGTATCAGCACAAACCATCTACGCTCTTCTCTTCCCTTTTTCTTCTTCCTTTTAAGATCTAATCATTTAACAAGTTTGATGTTAATCCTTTTTTCGTATAAGGGCTGCGGCGACGAAGCGAAAACACGAAGTCACGAAGCTTTTCAAAATTGTGGATTATTTCTCGATACAATTTTTGCGAGAATCAACGATTCGAGATTTATTTAAATGGGTATTCAGAGAGGGTGCGACAGCCCGTAAGAATAAAATGTGAATGAAGTTATCCGAATTTCTTCCAGGAGCGCCATTAACGTCACCTTATTTACCGTGTACCGCGATAAACGCATAATGGCTTAAGACGAAAGCTCGTATCTCCTTCGTCAAGATTAATCGACGAGGTACTCTGGTGAACGTGGTGGTTAATGAAAAGCCTGTAATCGTGGCTGTAATCCGGATCGCTGGGTGACGATAACGAGGAAGAAAGGAAGGAGAGGAAGAAGAAAGACGCATGGGACTTTTGTAGAAAATACAAAAAAACAAAAAAAAAGAAAAGAAAAACTCGCCGAACCGATGTCGAGCCGCGAGTTTGAAAGTTCAATTTACGAAGGGGACGTTTCACGGTTGCGCCCTTTAAGGCAATATCCAGGGCAAAGTACGCGCTAGTAGGCCATTACAAAGTTATAATAGTATAGCAACCCTCTTACGATGTTCGGAACGTTGCAACTAGGCGGACCGTTTTGACTTTAAAATGAAATAGTCGAGCCCCGACGTTCAAGTTTGCCTAGCCGGGTGGTAAACGTACACAACAACGCAACCCTTCCCTTTCCCCTATTTTTCGACTGCCATTATACAAAGTGGAACGTTTTTCCGAAAGCCGTTGCTCGTCGAGTAATTCCTAATGGTCCGTGTAACGCGAAGATCCTGGCTAAACGGCTCGCTGCTTCTCGCGTCCACTCGATCTTCCACATTCTAATTACCGTTACGCTTCCACCAATTCCTCCTGCATCTTCGACCTTTACTATCCCCTCGAACGCCAACTTGTTGCCCGCTGGAAAACGTGAATAAACTTACGCGAACAAAAGATACTACCTACTTATGGAATTACGATCCTGCGAACTCGAAGCTGAAATTGACGATGAAATGCTTTGTTCGATTCTTAGACGAATGTTCCAACCACGGTACGTTGGAATGTCTACAAGAATTCAACAACGCAACAACGAACGAACGCGAGAAGAAACTCGTCAACGCGAAGCACACGCGTGTTCTCGAAACCACATATTTCTCTGGAACGTATAACAATGAAAATGATGCTTAGACAAGAGAAACGAGGGAAAGTAGATTGTTGACGGAGGAAGAGAGGTGACTGTGGGAAAGAGTATAACGACGTTCAAGGGACCGGCAGATTCATCTCACCGTTGAGAAACTCGGTCGTTCCGCGAGTTAACTCGCGAACGAGCACGTGAAACGAGATTTAAAAGTTCTAATGAAGTGCATCCGGAGTGGCTGGACCGTGTATGGAACGTTTGAACACCGACCAAACTCTTCTTTTTTTTCCCATTTGTAAATGGTGAAAAAAATATATCTGCACGAAATGGTCGTCGGGAAATAGAGAATACATGCTTGATAACCGTAGAAGGTTGAATGCTCGACAGCCGACAGAAATCCAAGCTGGATTTACGCGACGTCAAACCTGTTGACCGAAAGGATTAACAAACCACTTTTTACGTTTAACAAAGTTTGTTAATTATACAGGATGCGACTGTGCCGTAGCGGATGGCACAACCTGGCTGATTCCACGCATAAAGGTAAACGAAAAATGTAAAATGAAATGTTTTCGTAAGAAGCTTAGTTCACGGGAAAATTAGCGATAATGAAAATATTATTAATGCTAATATTAAATCGTAACCAACGTAGCCGTCAAAGCGTTAATAAAGATGCATCATGGAAACACGTGAAAGTAAGTTGCACGCAATCCATGAAAGAAGACCGTTGGATCCTTTTGAGGCGGTAAGGAAAAAGCAAGGCACCCCTTTGAACTAGCGATAGCAAGATAAAATATATACACATCTGTGGTGGGTCGCGGGTTAGGAAGGAAATACTCATTTCACGCGTGCCTGCGTGTAAATGCGACGGCACATTCAACCCCGTATATCATCCCTTTCGAAGGACTTTAAATCAGAGCGAGGCCGCGAGGGGTTGAATAACCATGCCTGATTCCCTTCCCGTAGATGCACGGAATTTCAAATGAAAACTCGTTGCTTCTCGAACCTTTGATACACTCAGAGAAACCTCTAGTTTTTCTCCCCCCTCGTCGAACCTGCTCTATTTAATCGGCAAACACTTTGATGAAATCAATCAACGACATTGTAACTTAGGCCTGGCCGACTCTTGCCCACGGGGCTTCCAAGTTCGTTCCGTGTTCTGCTCGAGTATCGTTTCAGAACAGCGACGTCCAGTCGTGAAGGAGAAATGGAACAGGGGTGAAAGCCTGCCTGTTGCGATGCCATCGAATTGCCCGTATACGTTCTAACGGATGATCGATTACGTTCAAACAACATCGAATTGTATACGCGGTAATATAAACGTGCGAATTAATTTGCCTTCCACTTTCAGCATCCGACCAAACAATTAACGCAGCTGTGTCTATCGCGAGACCGGCTCGTAAACGTTAAGCGAACAATTCATGAAAATATACACAGACGAGCCTTGTACGATACTAAATCGCTCTCGCTTCATTTCGATTGCTCGTTGCTAAAGTAATCAGCGAATTAAATTACCTTCTTTGATCGAACAGTCTAGGTAGCCAGGCAAATTTGGGGAAGAAAAAAATAGAAAACGAAAAGTCGAAACGTTAGACCGCTAACAAAAATTTCATCAACTGTTTTCCTTTTCCAGATATAAGCATTTCGAAATCGATTATTCGACTGACTGACCGCATAAAAATCATGCAGTTGCATCGATAAAACGATTAATTGCATTTTAAACGAAACTCCACATTTTTCTTCGAAATGTTTTGCGTAAAAAAATATCGTCGACGTTTTATTGCAAATTGAAAGGTGTTCGAGAGACAAACCACCTTATCATAAACGATGGGGTTACATTAATTACACCCAACGAATCCAATTAAATCCAGAAGCATCCTGAGTTTCACAGAGACACCAGCCATCCACCGCCATTTTGTGGTTCAGCATGAAACGGGAGGATAGGGTTGGTAGTGAACGAAGAGTACGACGCTCATGGTAGGTCAGGAGGGGTAGGATGGAGGGCTTAAAAATATGATTTTAATACCACTGCTCCGGGGGTCGCCGTATATCACGCTTTTGTCCGCCTACTATTGTCTCTACACCCAACTCACACCCTCTCAAAACCGACTATGCCCCCTTTCGACGGACCTACCACGACCCCCTCGCACACTATGCCATCCCCCCCCCCCCCCCCCCCCCCCCCCCCCCCCTCTCTACCCTTGCCAACTACAATGGCGAAAATGCTCGTAATTAAAAATTTTCCTACGTATGATCATCCGTCGTTATTCCATGAGGAATTACCATTGAACGAAAAAGAAGTATTAGCTAAAATAGATACATGTATCGTGATTTTCAATTCCGCGAAGAACTTGAACACTTTCTATGATAAATTGAGAATCAACGAAATTCTTTATTATGTTTCGCGTGATATCAAGAAAGGAAATCGATGGGCCAGTGGTTCTCGCGAGAGAATGGAAACTGCGGATACGCTTTAGGGGTTGACTATTACAAAACGGTTGCCCGGGGTAGAAGGCTCAGATCCTGGAAGACAGGTAATTTGTTAATTTCATTATAATGGACTTTCCTGTTCTCGCCTTTACACGACGGATGAATTCCAACGAAGGAAAAAAACAAAAAAAAATATCCAACATGAAACGTTACGTTTCTACTAATTAGGAACTTCATCACGTAATACGACCGGTATAAAAGCATCAGGTACGTAGTATCTACAGATTTTTAATTATAACGGGAGAGGTACTTTTATACGAGATAGAAATCATTTATTACCGATCTGATCCACGTATGAGAAAATAATTAACGATCGCACGGCGTACGAGTAGAAAAACGATGAGAATTTTCGTTCGATGAAAAGCATCCTTTATGCGAGGAAAAATATCACGGTGGACGAATTTTATGGTCAAAGATCGCCGTGAAAGTATTAACGAGCCGGGCAAGTTCTCGAGGGGACAAGAAACGACAGTATAAGTTACGAAGCGGGATAAAAGCGTCGCGTCGCATCGCGAGAGGACACCGACGGAAAAAGTGGCAAGAACTCATCGTGACGTCCCGTGGAAGAGAATTCCATTTGTTTCACGCGATTGTTTTATGATACCTAGCCAGAAAGCAGATGCCTACGCGTTCCTCTTTCACCGCTTTAGATGGAAATAAAACCTAGATGGTAATTAATCGTCGAACGTTCTCCAATAATTCGTTTTGCTGTACCTGTCGAAATCTTATCGAATCGAAGAAAAAAAGGAAAAATTCGAAATTCTTTCCAAGGATAACCCGATGATGCGCGATACCAGGGGGAAACTAATTTTCGCTGGTAAAGTTGGAGGGTGAGAAATCAAAGAACGCGAGATGTAAATTACGGAAGGGGGTAGAAATGTAGGTTGATCGAGGAACAAGGAAAATTACTATAATCAACCGTCGACGATGAAGTAACAATTACTTACACATGGCGCTTCGTCTTTTGAAGTCAAAAGGATTCCGTGGTAGGCGGAAGAGTGTCTTCGACGCGAACGCCTAGCCAGAGATTGAGTCGCTTCGTCGAGGGTGGATCGGGTGAAGGAAAAAGGACAGGCAAAGGGGAAGATAGAAGCGTGTTCGGGTTCGAAAGTGAATAGGAAACCGGTCGAAGGTCGACGAAGAGGTGGCTGAAATTTCATCGATGCTGAAGAGTCGACAAGCTTGGCAGGCAGATTCCAATTAACCAGCCACCGGCTTTTGTTCTCGACATTGTCACCTATCTTTCATCCTTTCTCTTCTTATTTAACGAGACCCGCTGACCCGTCTTGATTCCAGACGAAATTGTTTTCGTTTTCTTAACAAGTTATCAGCCTATACTTTCGTCCAACGTGTCTATCCCTATTTTCTCGCGGATGAAAGAAAACACGTTAATCCTACTTAATTCCCTTGTCCAGTCCAGTGAAACGAAAGAAAGGGGAAAAGTTAAACGAGAACGAGACACGATCTCGTCAACGTTCCTGAACAATTTCGAGGTCTGCGAAACGCGATTTCCATTCGTTCGCTAGCGTTACTTAACGATCGTCTTGAAAAGATTATGTCCAAAGAGAGATTTCCATCCTCTTCCCTCCGTTCCTTCGTTCGCTCGATCCGTCCATTGTACCGCGTATCCCGGCGTCTTAATTAATTGAAACGTTCTCGTTGAACCGATCCAAACGAGACAGCGGACTTTATAGTTGCGGCACGCTCGCGGCACGGACGCGTCTTCCTAAAGGGAATCCTTTTATGTCGTAGCTGCATCGCGAAACAGCCAACCCGGAAGACGTCGTTATTTAGCCGATCCGGTTAATCTTTCTTGCCAACGATATCGCGATGAAAAGAGATTGCTTTTCTACGAGAAAGGAATTTTACAGACTCGCGGGTGTATGTAATTTTTATTCATTTCCAAAGAGGAGGGAGAAAGGGAGAGAGAGAACGAAGGAGAGAGAGTTTAATACCAAAGAGAACTACGCTGCAAAGGGATTCCAAAGGTTTTCTGCTCGTTCGACTGTGGTTTCGCCGGATCTTTTGTTATATTGCCTTCTAGTGTCTCGTGTTTGTCCTTTTATTTCGGTTAATAGAAATACTCCGCGTAGTTCTTGGCGACGCGAAACAAAGGGAACGCTGGCGGGGGGTGGAAGACGCTTTTCTCTTTTTTTTCTTTGAAGAAGCGTTTCGTGTTGTTCCACAGCGACGAGGTACGTTCGAATTAAGAAAGGAATCGTATAAACGCGGATGATCTTAACAATGCTCCATTCCAATTTCTTTTATCCTCTCTCTCTCTATACTCTGTTACGATTACGAAAGTAAAGATATGACTGAAGAAAAAATATAGGAAGACGTAGAAATAGGAACGTCAATGCACATGCCGGACGAGTTTCCGTTTCAAGGGCAAACGGAAGGAGGAAACCGGTGATTTCGAAGGACGCGACACGGAGGAAGCGAATCGCGTCGAAACGATCCCCCGGCTAGAAATGATTTAAGGGTTGTTATCGGGAAACGGGGCTGCGGGTCGGAGCGTCCACGTCAGCGAGAACGTCCGTATCAATTCGGTCTACCCTCGTGTCCCGAGCAGGCGAGCCTTAACTTCGGCTAGCTCGTTGGCCGGGCCAACGTCGACCCCGTTCCGACCAGAAGGGATGGCTATCCGTCTAGCTGGCTCTAGTCGAGGCGATTTAGTCGAGCTATCCCGTCGGACGAATCCGGGACAGGCGGGAACGCGACGATCGTCAGTATCGTCGATGTATCGTCTATTAGAGCTGGTTAACGCGCGATTGCCTCGAAAGGGCAATGGCCAGTGACGAATCGATGATTAAGATGCGCCCGTCCTTCGTGAACGCGTCCCCGTTGCGTTTCTCGCTAGACTGACCCATCGATCGTTATTCCGTCCCTTCGTCCCTGCTTCCCCTGAGTTCGTTCGGTAACACGCCCGAACCTTTTCATTTTCTAATTAATCGTCTCTCTTAACCTTGTCTAACAAGAGGTGGCACAAGTTCACCTTTTACGCGTCGCAACGGTTGGATCGTCAGCCAGATCGGAGAGTCACTTATCGATCTAGGAAGTATGCTACCACGATAACGACAAAGTTCCTCGGCAAATTGGAAGAGCCCAGGGGTAATCGCGTGAAATTGCAAGGCATCATACCCGGAAAGACACCAGGCTCGCACCTATATCTACACACAGTTTGCAGTCGGAACAGTTGGGTGTACGTGCTGGATCCATCGGAGTTTGCATCCGAGAAAGTGACGTTGCTAAAGTTTCTCTCAGCCAGCTCGCCCACCTGTGTGGTCTTGATTCGCCGACACACGTATCGGCATGCAAACGAGAGACGATAAGTTCCGAGTACACTTTCCAACTAACTAACTATTTTTGCTGATTTTATTTCGTATTTCGGCCGAAATATGAAATTCGTGGAAACGTTTTCCCGTCTAATGGGACGTTAAAAAATACGCAAGATACCTTCTTATTATTATTATTATTATTCGGTTCTAAGCTGCTAACATCGAAAGCATACGATTCTGTGGAGTGGACGAGGTGACAGGGCAAAACGGGCAGGGTAACGACAGAGTAGGATCAGCTACTCTTCCAGGAAGGGATGCGTTGGCCCGTGAACTCGCTGATAACGCAGAATTATAGTCTCGCCACTGGCAGAACCACCCTTTTCGAGCCAACCATGTGACTCCCTACAAAACGTCCTATCGCCGCACGTACCGAGGCGTGAGCAGAAGTCGCTTTCCACGCGTGCATCATTTCTTGCTTATACGAGAGATTCTTTCACCTTTTTTTTTTTCTCCCCGCACAGTGCACCGGACTTTTTTTCACAAGGAAACGAAACGATCGTGAACCTTCGTACGAGAAACGGATAACGAACGGGGATGAAAGGATAAAGAAACGTAGCTCTTAATAGAGAAAAAGAAAACGGGTACGCGTTACTTTTCGTATTCCTGGATAAATATTATCGATTGGAAAATGGAGAGGAAGCGAGAAACGCGTGTTCTCGAGATGGTTTCCTCGAACGAGACAACGGGAAGCCCATATTTGTAATTCGTTTTCTTATTCGTATCGACTTCCTGTTCGAGGAACAGGAGACGGTATTTCCGTTGAATTAAAATGCACGTACGATGAGGGAGGTAATGAGTCGGCAAGGCGACGACAAAAAAACTGCGAATTCCAGAGGATTTTCTCCGGGAACAATTTGCTTGGTCTTCCTCGTAGTTCCGTAACATCGGACGATTAGATTATCCAACGGCCCGACGAATACTGTATACTTTTGTCGTTTTATTTTCAAGGGGTTACAACGATCCTACGACCGGCTGCTATGCCGCGTCTAATTGCCAACGAACAACCATAATCGCGACGCTTCTTAATTTACGAGGCAACGTTTCCACCGCGATGTGACTAACGTTGTTACCTGACTTTTCGCCAATCCTTCATAATACTAATTTCCGGGGAAAATTTAACGACGAATCCGGGTAATGAACAGGTGTTCTTATGGAGTCGCACGGGTAAGGAGATGTTTGGCATCGTATGCATTTTCCCTCGAACAGTTTTACCGTGCAACTTGCGGATAAGATCTTCGTGCGAACGCGAACGTGACGTTTTCGGTGGAAATTAAATGCAAAAGGAGCACAGAGTCTCTCGGTCGTGCCAAATAACGGCAGACGTGAAGTTACATTTTCTTTTTGGAAAGCTACTCTCGCTGGAAAAGATCCGAAATATTTTCATTGAAATTCTTAGCATCCACAGTAATTCTATTCAATATTCAACGGGAGGATAATTCTCGACAAAAATTTCACGGAACGGCGAGCTTTTTCCTTGACAAGAGAAAAATCATTGGAGAACATTTTCGAAATTGCACCCACGGCCTCTTCGTTTCTGATTATTTTTCAATTACACCGCTGTTCGCTAAATTGCCTCTGTTCGTTGGCTCGTTTCGCCGCACCGAAACAATATTCTGATTGGTTCGAAGGAACGCGAAGAAACGAGCAACGGAACAGAACCAGAACCAGAAACAGTCAGTTGGAGGATATTTAAACAATATTTAAACAATTTTATACCCTCTCGCGCGAATATTGTCGACCTACGTAATCGCTTTTATTATTATACTTTTATCTTTCTGTTACCTTTACCTCTTTCCTTCTTTTTTTTCACGTTTTTCCTTAGGGTGCAATGCGTCAACGCGATTTCGCGCGAAAAACTCGAACTTTCGTGTCGTGAAACAAGGTAATTCGCTTGGCATGTCGCGTGTCCCTACGTTCATTTCTATTTTTTTTCTTTTTTTTTTTCAATTTTTTTTGATTTTGCACGTTTTACACTTTGCCGCGCGAGTTTTCACCAACAGGTTCGGCTACGAAAGGAAATCGCAATATGGGAAAGGTTCGTGATACGAGCTTTGATCCTGTGTCACGGTGCTCGAACTCATTTCGAAAATTATCTACTCTTTATCCGAGTCACATTTGAAAATCACGTTCTCAGAGAAGCAACGAACCTCTCTTGCTTATTGCTTCTACCTTTCGATGTGGCATTGAATTTTTTTATCATGAAACTTACATTTATTCAACACTCATAGGTTAATATAAATCAATTAAAAGAAGAGATAAAAGGAAATTCTTCGCCACGCTTTCCTTTTATCGAAGGAAAGCCATCGTTTCACGCAACTGTGCCGGTTTCGACTCAAGTTTGTTCAGCTTAGAGAATCGTACGAATCTAGCAAGAACACACGAACGAATCTTGATCTCTTCCTTTTTATCTTCCTGATAAAAGTTCGACGCGGATCGGACGCGTCCTGTGGATCGAGACGAGACGGGTCGACACGGAACGTGACGTTTCAGTCTGCTCGAGAATTTTAATTTCATTTCTTATCCGTGCGGACGAAAAAGTAGGGGGAGAAGAAGGAGATCGTTCGAGAGAACGAAAGGAAAAAGAAGATTTAGATGGAGAGTCAACTGTGCCCGTTTATCTCGACGTGACGGGAATGGATTTTCGCGGACGACACTGAGCAAAGATGATTACACCCTCGCGAAAGGTGTCCGACGATCTGACGTTTTCTCACGCACTTCCGACCTTCCTTTCCTCACAGATACTACCTTCTTACTTCACCGAGGTGCCTGCTCTTTCGAGATACGGCTCGGCCATCGATCCCCTCAAATTTTCCACGGTATTTCTTCAAACCTATTGCAGCCCAACCACATCAGTCCAACCTCTTCGCTAGAGGTTTTCCTGCTACCTATATGTGACCTCGATATACTGGGTGATTCTCTCGCTAGTGTACTCTGCGAGTGCAATCCGTCGAGGTATCCATGATAGGACCTTATCTGTCAGCTTGGGCCCATTTATACTGGTGCGGCGACATTTCCTTTGAGTACTATTCGTGCACCAGAAGAAAACCGAGTTCCATCAAGCTAATAAGTAACAGAGGGAAAGGGAATAGTGCATTCGCACCGCCCAATTCTTTTCTAATTGGTCCACTGCGTGACGAAATACGCTAACGGAATGAGATACGGGGGGGATCTATTAGAAAAGAATTATCCTTGCCCCTCTGACTTTTTAGCTTGACGGAGCTCGGCCTTCTTCTGGTACGTGAAGAGTACACTAGCGAGAGAATCCACCCTGTATCAGACAGACTTGTCTTTCATATTTCTCTACGAACAACGGACGGGTTGAACGAAATATAAACGTGAAATTTTCAAATTCGAAGAAACAAGAGGGAATCGTGATTAAATCGCTGGGATATTTCGAATGAAACCGGCGAACGGTTAATGGAAGGAAGCATTTCGAGAAGGTTTTGAAAACAAAGAAGAGCGGGGCGAGGTGATCGAGACGAAGGAAACAACCGCGGCAGGTGAATGAAACGAGAGTAATGCAACCAATTAGTAAGAATTAGCATCAAGCCGACGGAAGAAAGTCGGCGAAAGAGGGGAGTGAAAAGACGAGAAGGAAGGAACGTTGCATTCCCTCGTTCCCGCTAAAATAATTACCAACCACCTCTTCACCCACTATTCCATCCTGTTCGCCTCTTGGCTCACTCGCGCTACCCTTTCTCTGGTTAAATGATTTTCGTGAGCGCTCTTTCCACATCGATACCTACTAGCCTCCTCGATTTTAACCTGACTCTATTTCCAGAAAAGTTCAAGTAATCCTGACGAACGGTCAAAACTGGCAAGCTGTTGCCTTTGTCTGAGTATTCCCCGTATTCTTGAGAGGAGGAGGTACTGCGAACAGCAAGACTTAATCTACTAAAATTGTTTTTCTAGAAAATTTAGGTGTTACAACGAGCAGACTCTCAGAGGTTTTAGTGACAATGGCCAGAATCACCCTCCAGTCATAAACTCGGGTCTCCCCAGAAAGAGTGTTGGTAAAAGGGCACACGGCCCTTTTAAGAAAATCAGGAAAGGACGAAAGCGGGGGGCAGAACGTGTAACAAGGGTGGACACGGACCCTCGACGAGGAGAAACGTCGCCGGAGTATTGAATAAAGATCCTTTATCGAAACCTTTGACTCTTCGAAGCATTGTCGACATAGAATGCGACGACCCGTGCGCTATCCGTCGACTGTGCTTCGACGTTGCTCGCAGGAATTAGGATATAACGGCACCCAGCGTGTCCCTAACATTTCCTGGGTGGTAGCGAACGTACAAAATTCGAGATATAATCTTCCAACTACTTTAGTTGCGAGAAACAATTAATCGAATGCTGTGTTACGAAATTATCAAGAAAAATGGTGTTATTAATTCAGCTTTGCTGCTCACTGTAAACGCGCAGGAAGGTGGAACGAGAGACCGCTCCTTCAGGTCGAGAGGTTTCCGGCACGGTGGCTAATTTGTTATCTCCCACCGAGAAACAATGTACGACTAATCTGACTGACGGGTAATCGCGAAGAAATGATAAGTAATGGGCAAATTTGTTTTCGGGAATTTCGCGTTTGTTTCTGATTAATCGCCGTCGTTTGTCAATCCTCGAGCCTCCAGACGAACGATTCTCCTTGGCTTAATTATCGTGTACCTACTTCTCTCCTGAGAGAGTTGAACAACACGGAGAAGATACAAGTCTCGAATAAACGTATTATGTGCAGTTAAGTGGAACGAAGAAAGTATTGTAAATCTTTAGAACGAATGATACCTCTGCCGAGAGGTGTCGATTCGTTAGAAATGCCCTCGATAGTTTCTCGCTAGTTAGTAATCAGTCCGTTCGTATCCGAACGCGAACGAATGCAAACAAGCACCGGCTACAATCGCTCTTAATTATATGCTAACGACCGATCTCTGGAAGTCAGATAAGGTTTTCAGTTGGTCCGCACATCCAACCTGGCAAAGTTTCCATGGATTTCAATTACAGAGAGTCCTTTAATTAATTTCTATTATGAACCGCGACGATGAAGGCCGAGGAAACAACGTCGAAGTACGACAAAATCACTGAACGAAAATAAAAGAACCGAAACTCGAATTTCTGATTTAAATCCAAGTTACTTTTACCTATCAGCGAATAAAAAATGTATCATTTTCACTGTGTACACGTTTCTCGAACCAGCCCGTAGATCGTTCGAATCGAATTAAACAAAAATATCTTCTGTTTATTCGATTCTGTTATTAACAGAGCCGCTGATATGCTATCCGCGCAAATTAAACTGATCAACCGTGGTACCTCGAAAAATTGTTATTAAACCATTCGGGAATCGTGATAGTTTGCGTAAAGCCAATTATAAAATCTACCCAGTTTCGTTCACCGGTTCCCAGTTTCTCTGTTCGACGAACAGCGAAAAAAAAGAAGAAAAAAAATATTTAAAAAACACCGCATGCTCGGCTATCTTTATCAAGGTTTCGTGTAATTTTAACTGGATCGTAATCACGTTGGTAACGCGATATCGTTCGACGATCCGTTGCTCGTGTAAATTCTATCCAGAGTTATGCCCGAAAATTGGTGACGATTCGAAAAATCCTACACGAAGAATCGAGATAATAAGAGAACTTCGTTTATGGCTACTCGTAAAACATGATGAACGTAACCAGCTGCAAACCTCGTAAATATCAGTCAGCAGTGTCCTGGATCATAAATTTATGGACTGGTTCGAAGTATCGTTTATAAGATTGGGTAAATGTTCTCTCGTACACTCGCGTGAAACGATCACTTCCCTCGCTAAAGGGAAACATGCCAGTATGAATGGACATTTTTCTATCATCGGTATCTCGGGTGCACACAGCTGCAATATGCACCCACGTCGATGACAGAAAAAGGCTTGTGCCCATCCATACCGGTGTAGAAGCATTTCCTTTGAGTACATTAGCGAGAGAATCACCCTGTATAATAAAGGCTCACCTCTCATCACTCGCCTAACTTACTGCTCCGTTTCCATTTCGGAAATTCGACCGATTCTAATTTCCTCTATGCTCGCTCTTATACACCTACTTTATTTTTCATTCGCCTGCCTGCTGCACTCGATATTAATTCCTCGTTGCTCGGCAGAAACGTTGCTATCAAAAGGAATACATAAACTTTTATTTCATTGAAAGTGCAAGGCGATAGATATATGCATTATGGAAGAAACATCTAATATCTACCTGGTTCGTTTATCCTCCTGTCCCAAATTATAAAACCACCTGAAATTTTTCTCGATACTGGTGTTCAAACTTGCACGCTTCTTAGACCTCATCTTTGTATCTTCCGACGCTGGGATCGTATTTGTAGGAGGAGCCAAAGTGACGTTTCGAAAATTTACAATGCGTTTCCAAAAATCGTTATTCGGTGGAGGTGTTCTCAAAATTGCTGATTCCTTTACTTTATTCCAACTGAGAGTGGTATTTTTAAGAACTTGAAAGATACTATTCCTGCTACTGCTGTAATCGTAATTTACTTGACTGGTTTCCTCTATATTAGAAATCATTGGACTCTTTTCAAATTCTACGAAATTTCTATTCGTCGCGTTATGATATTGCATCGTGATGAACTTCAAATCGTCTTCTTCGCTGAATGTATTCTCGTCGGAAGGTACGACATTCGAGAAATCGTGAAATACGGGAAAATCTCCTCTACCTTTGGCCCTCGCAAAATCCCGTTTCATATCAGTGGACGTTATGCTAACCTCGGAAGCAAATATTGATTCAGTAGTCTGCTGATCTTCGACATTTTCTGCGATTGATTTTTTATGGCTCGTAAAAGTCGTTCTACCTGTAGCGTTAGCGATAGCAAATGTTGGGATTGAAACGTTATTCTTCGTCGTGGATTCGTTCGTCGTGTTTGATTTTAAGATCGAAGATACTGTTATCGATGAAGTTAACTCGTTCGACGTACCGAATTCTTTCGTTAACGTCACCTCATTTGAAGTACCAACGTCTGATGTCGAATATACGTTAAATTGGGAAAATCTTTTAGTAGTAGGTAAATCTTGCTCGACAACGTCGAAACGTTCCTCCGTTCGAAAATAAGCAACCAGCAAGATCCTGAAGAGACGAGCCAGTTTCTCCTCGAAGATGGAATCGTTCGGTTGCGCCTTTTGCAGTAGCAACAGTCTTGCCCAGTCAGACTTCAGAGCACCGAATGGCAATGCGTTCAATGAACATTTGAACTCGCCTACCATCATACGAATCGTAGGTAGATTCTTCGAATCGAGCTTCGACAAGTAATCCTCCAATTCGGCGATGTCGAATTTCAAGCACTCGTCGGACAGATCGTCAGCACTTGTTTCTGCGAATAAAAACACGTCTATAACTTATTTAATGAGAAAAATTTCGGAAAAAATATCGAATAATCAAATCTTGTTATAAAAGAAAATGAAATACCACTTACTGGAGACGGTAAAAAGAAAGAAGAAGGTTACTAAATAGAGAAATAAACTCGAAACCACCTCTCGCGACATGATTGCCACGCCAACTGATTGCGAGCACCGAGTATATTCTATTTCGTTCGAATCGGCACATTTCAAACGCGAATGCTCGCAAATTTTTTCTGCCTTCGCGACGCCTCGCCGCCTACAACGCGATAGCGAAAACGAAACGATTAAATTTTCCAGAGACGTATCACTGGCAAACCTTTTTTTTCTCTAACGTATTTGTTAGAGAAAAGAATCACTTAACGATATTTGTTTCTTTCTCTTTCACGAAAACAAAGTGTCTCGCGTGAATACTCGTTTCTCTACCCTCTCAAATCCACATTGTTGTAAACAGTATCCACTATGATATATGGAACATCTCGCGGGACGATTCATTTGTCATCATCCTTAACACGCACTCGTTCCGTAACAGAGAGCCATTCTCACGGTACGCGACGACATAATGGAAGAAAAATAGTGAATGCGATTAAATTGGTTGATGTAACATCGTTTGGTAGATATCGTTTGTTTTTAGAGTGAAAAAAAGAAAGAAAAATTTACAAAAGTTACGAAACAGAACAGGTAAATACAAAGAAGAAATTGCAGGTAAGTGCAAGAAAAGACACACTATTTGATTTACAACGTAAAGATTCACTGTATATTTACAGTATTTCTTGTTATCGTTATCTTTATTACCATCACGATCATCATCATCATTAATATCAATATTAATATTCTTTATCATTATCATTATTATTATTATCAATATCTTCATCATCCTCGTCGTTATTACTATCATTACTATTATATAATATTTTGCTCCACAATTATACTCGCTTATCTATTTTATATCTGTCTAAATTTGTATCGTTCGTTTTGTATTTAATTGTTGGTTTGTTTTATTTTGTTTTGTTTGTAACCCTGAGACTACGATTCTACCGCAACGGTGAATCGAGATACACGTGTACACGCGAGGAAAATGCTTGTAAAAGTCGTGAAAATCCAACGTCCAAGCAACGCGTTCCCTCGGACTCGTAAAAATATTTTATCTGGCCCACCCTTCTTCTTTCTCCTTTCTTCGCGCAACGTACCACGATAAACAAAATAGAAAAAAAAAAAACAAATCGAATCGCATTGTTATCGGTATGCCGTATTAATTAACACGACGAATGGCGTTCGACCCTTTGACTGTGACGTAGGGACGCGGTTAATAGTCGAAGGGTGAAAAATCGCTGAGAACAAAAATGATATCTAAGCGTTTTAAACGCGATAACACGTACAGTACGATCTACGTTTCGTTTAAATATGTATATCTGCCACCGGTGTTCTTAGGCCCATCCTCGAACAAATCATCGCGAAGTAGTATGAAAATCACGACGTTACAAAATATAGGGAAAAGCATTCGAAAGATCGATAACGCCTCGATGGAACGCATAGAGACGAACGTTTACGCGAAATCTAAAACGTATAAGGCGAATGATTCGAAAACAGGACGTGGACCGGTTTGTCCGAATAACGTGTATATCACAGTTCGATGAAAAAGAGAAAAGGTTATGCAGCTGAAGTTTGCTACAGAAAAGGAAAATAGTTTACAAACTATCAGAGCCTGCTTGTATTTTGTTTATAACACAAGATTTTAATTACCTCCTATCCGATATTTGTAGCGTCACCGTCTCAAACTAGAAAACTGAACATGGTACACCATCGAATAACATTCTTCGATACCTCGATACTATCGACAAACGCATCGAAACTATCGATTTCTTCTTTCGAAGTTTACAACCCAGGGAGGCAGTGTAATAAACACGATTCTGTGTAGAAATTCTGAAGAAAAAAAAAGAAACTATGTACATTCCGAAAAGGAAAAGAAAAAGAAATTCGCCATGGATTTCTAAACCGTTTTCTTCGTTCTTTCTTTCATTCGTTTCTCATTATATTCGTCGTCTACTTCGCAATGATGAACGAACCATCGTGAAGAAATTACATCATTGGTCAACTATTTTTTTTTTCTTTTTTGTACGTATGTAAATGCCAGGTGGATTAAACGAAAATTTCAAGTTAAACACAGTCCAGACTTACATACAATTGTTAACGAGAGGAAAAACGAGAAAGAAAAACAAATCAAATGTGTATTGTAAAAAAGAATTATTTTAGCTGATTAAAATAAGAGTTATTCTAGTTTAAGAATCAGAAGACTGGCAAAAAACATTCAGTCTTGAAGTTTGAAAGCAACGTGTAAGGTGAAGGATCAATAGAAAAAAATGAAAAATAAAAACACCTTGATGGAAAACAGTTTTTATACTGTTTTTTACACAGTTTTTATACAATTTCTTCCGTATTTCCGGGACAGAAGTATGTAAATCTGGACTAGGATTCAGAAAGAACCCGAAGACTAAAGTAGAGAAAATAAAAGAAACTGAAAAGGACGACCCGGTTGTTTCTTTTAAAGAAATAGAAAATTAAAAGAACGAGAAAAAATGTATAAATAATCGTCCTGAATATTGCACTCTACCGCTTCAAGATCACACAAGGTTTCCAAGTCAAACGTTTTAACATCAGCCAAATGCTTAACGCACCTAATTTACTATAATATTTATTCTATATTTCATTTATTAAATAACTTCTTTCGTTTTCTTTCGTATGAAGCGATCATTAACAACAAACAGGCTGATTTAAAAAGATTGACTAACCCTTTCGGTACTACAAGTCGACATTCAAATTAAGCGATACTTTATCCCTATGAGTTGACCTAATAATAATTATAAAGTATTTTTAATTCGATCCACAGCATCTACACGAAAGGGTTAAAAAGAAATCTTGTCGCTTGTCGTGTGTATAATCGACAAAAAAAAATGAAAAAAATAAAATTCCATCAATTTGTCGCGCTAACTGATTTTCCTTTTTCTTTTTTCTAGGAAAAAAAGAAATTGAACGTCTTTGCGTACGAATTAATAGCTCCTAACGATATTACACGATCTGTCGCTTCGAAAAGAAAGCGATATTATGCACAATGATCGCTGCGAATCACGTAACAATAGTAACTAGATAATAAAGATCCCTGAATACATATATAATATAATATAATAATAATAATAATATAATAATAATATAATATATATATTCTCCTACGCTTTCCGTGTGGCATACGCGAACAACATTTCGCAATCATTTCAACAATCCATTAAATTTCTTTTTTCTCCCCCTCCTACGCCCGTCTCTTCTAAGAACCTGGCAACCTGGCCAAAAGGTTCGTTCTCGAAGCATATCATAATATTTTCATTATTTCTTTTTTCCTTCGTACTATGGCTCGTAAGTAAAGAAAGAAAGAAAAAAAAGAAATAGGATGGCCTTAATTCAGAGAACGATCCAGCCATTCTTTATTCTTCTTGTTCACTGGTTCACAGCTCTGTTCGCGTTAATTGGTTCGATTTGTACAACGGCGCATACTAAGATTTAACTTCGCTCAACTAATTCAACTATGGATGTTCAATGCAGTTACACACATCGATACGTTTTACATTTATCAGTTTTTTTTTTCTTTTCTTATCGCACGTCTAACAGTATTCTTTTTTTTTCCCCTTAAAATGTGCAGTTATTCTATGTATATATATAAAACGACGTACCCTTTTATCGATACTATATTAAAAAATATAGAGTTTCGTGTTCCTTCTAGTCTCGAATTGACTGTATCATTTTTATTCTTTCTTTTTTTTTCTTCTTATTTTTGTCTTGTTTTCTCAGAGAGAAGACGGTAACTAAAATAACGATCGAACCTGGAGCTACGAGTGTGATTTTGATTGAACTGGTATCTTTTTTTTTTTCTCGTTTTTGGTAACACAATGCTAAACACTAAAACGTCAAACACCCACAGTTAGTACATTTGCAAATTTTTGTTTAGTAGTGTCTACGATGTATCACCGGTTCGGTGATGTATCGTCATCTTAACCCGAACAGTACGTAAATGAAATCGTTTCGTGTATTTGGTAGATGCTTCTGTCTGGTCGACAGATTTATTTATTTATTTTGTTTTCTTCTCATAAACTATCCTAAAGTGAGAGCTCCGGAAAGAAAGCATCTCGTATCTTGTACTACGTACCCTCCTATCCTGACATATAACATGATTTCTTTTTTTTTTTTTTCCGTTTTTTGTTTTCTCTGTACCTGTAAAAGGGGTACTCGAAAAGGAAAGTTTAGTTGTGTCGACGAAACGGTGTGCTTGCTATCGTATATGATGTTGTATTTGCGAGTTTCGACGATTGCTGGAATCACTGGCCATTAAGCTCCACGCTCCAACACACTGTCGCACATTCGAAAAAATAAAGCCCTTCTCTTTTTTCATTTGCTACTTTGTATTTTCGAGTCTGCTGTTCCTTTAAAGAAAACGAATAGAACTGCACAACGTATCCGTTCTCGTTTCACTTGACACTCACTCGGTCTCTCGCTTACACGTCTAAGAACTGTCGAGAAGGAAAAACGTATCTCCTGTACTCTTATTTTCTCACTGCCAACGTGTATACAGAGCATAAACGATGCTGTTGGTTACCTCGAACCGGTAACAACGAATTCCATCGGTGTCCTTCGGTACACGTATCATTGTAAATTAAGTTCGATTCGATGTTTCATCGATAATAAGCGGCTTCCAGCATTTCTACAAATAACTTGTTCATCGGTACTTTACCCGTTCGATAGACACTCGACCAAAATCTCCTAACAATTCCATCGACCTGCCTGAGACTTGGCAACACTAGGAACATGTTTTGTGTGGCGCGTAACGCTTGTCCGGGTCTTATTGCTGCCACGCAATCCGAAAGGGAGTTCAAGATAGTATCGCGAAAGCGATAAAGCGTTTGCGGCTCGTCCGATCTTGCATCACTATTCGCCAGTATCAACGCTTTCAACATGTAATATTCTTCCCTGGTCAAACCTAACCGTTGTAGCCTCTCAACGATTTGAATACACTGTTCAAAATCAAATAACACGTTGTATCATCTGTCGGTAAAACGTTAATGTAATTACATCTAGTTAGAAATTCGACAAACATATAAATGTAGGAGAAAAGTCTTGACTATATGAAAGTACTAGAAAATATCATTGAAGTTCGACGAAAACGATCGGCAAAGATATTGAAACAATTTAGATACTTACGTGCGTATATAGCTCCGTACAATGACATTCGCGTGCGAGTCTCTCGTCCAGGGTGAAGTCTTGGGCAAACCTTAATCTACCATTATTAGGCATACTTCTCCACGCTAAACTAAACGTCAAGATCTCGGCCCACGTGCTTTGCAAAAGTCGCATCTGATCGTTCAACGCTAAACCGCTGAATCCAGGGATCTGCTTTGCCCAACCTACGAATTGATAATACCAAATTAACAAATAACCCATTTACAACATGGTATTTGTACTTGAAACCATTCGTCCGGCATGTTACCGATTATTCCAACTAATTCCCGATCGTACAAATCGGACAATTGTCCGAGCACTCTCTGATCCGTATCAAGAGTCTGAGAGAGATTGGACACTTGCAGCATATCAGGCTCACAGGCAGCCAGTGCCTCCAGCATTTTATTATCTATCAATAAAATAAAACCGTATACCGATTAGAACGTAACTGTATTGTTATTAATAAATGATGATTTCGAATCACGAATGAACACAAATCTACTGACAAAATCGACATATTTGAAAAAGATGAAATATAATAAAAAAGTCATAGGAGCTGATGGCTTACTTATTATTTCGTTAGAAGCTCCTGTTCCTACGTTTGCTAGAAACAATAAAATATATCAGAAATTTAATCGTACTTGTCGATTGAAAGATTTTTATGTTGTTCGTGTTCTATATTCCATTCGATCACGATTGAAAGAAGGTGTTTTACAGACGCAAAGGATTATTTTTAAACGAACAATCACCTTCCAACGGGGCTGTCTTCACCGGTGTGTAAGGATCAGTGGATCTTCTGTACTTTTGTCTACCTCCTCGTACACGATCCAATCGGACTCCCTCTTTCAACATGCCTTGTCGAAGGCACTTTTGAAACCTACAAGCTTGACACGCTTTCCTTCTGCGCTTGTTTATCTCGCACTCACCGTTTGCCGGACACGTGTACTCGATGTTACCTGTGAAATTACTCGCTATTTTATTGTAATATACATGGTCCTGTCCCAGGTAGCACCAATTTAGTAGTTAGTCTTTCTGGATGTATGGATTTTTGAATCTTAAAATTGCTAAGAATTATTTTCAAACGGTGAAAACATTAAATATTTCAAATGTGACCAGATATTCATAAGTAAAAAAAAAAAAGAAACAGGCATCAAGGAAATTCTTATGTTAATGCGGTTAGGCGGTTTCGATCAAGCCCGATGGTGCTACCTGGAAAACTCTGTACAAGGAAATATTAATAAGCACGAAGGAACACTTATTACCTTGTATGGTTCTTTTGAAGAAAGCCTTACACGCTTCGCAAGACGCAACCCCATAATGAAACCCACTCGCAACGTCCCCGCAAACAAGGCACAGCCTTCTTGGTATCATGTCCTCTTCTTTAACACCTTCCTAAATAAAAGGTAGCTTAATTTATATAGTTCGTATTCGTTTGTAAAGATAAGTCGATAGCGTGTCGTAACACCAAGTGGCGTTTACCTCGGGTGTTCCTAAGGGCTGCGTAGTGGACGAACAGTGATGCATTTCCGGGCTACCGGGGCTACCTCCACCCCCGCCGTAATCGGGTGGCACCTCCATTTTACCGCAGATCACCTACGTAAATCATAAATCGAAACGTTAAAAAGAGCCTAAAGAGAAGCCTCGCAAATATAGAACATGGACAAAGAATGCTTCTTCGTCTATCGCTTCCTTTTAACTAAGGAAAGCCTACGTTATACATGTGTATATGTATATATGTATATATATACCTCTTGATGTTGAAGAGTGGTGGTCGGTGAACAAACTTGATAGTTTTGCGTAGGTGTCGTAGGATTCTCGACTTCTTGCTTGATATTTGCCATAGTTCTATTGTTCCCGATCATATTTTCTATGCCGGCACCGGACATCATACACACCTGGAATCATTAACGAGTAACTTATTTTCTTTCCTATGCTGCCTTCTATCGTTCGCTTTTTTTTTTCACCCTACATGGGCATAGAAATAATACCAATTGGAATCGACAGAATTGTAATCGAGGGTTTTTGGCGAATTTACGAGCGACGACAGTCGTCGTTCGCGTTCGCTACCACCGAAAACCGAAGAGGCAAGAGTTCTGCTTTGCAGTCGGCTGCACTTTTTCTTTTCGATGCTATTTTTAAACGCGACCAACGCCTCAAGCATTTTTAGAATTGACTTCAGAAAATTCGCGGTACGCATCGAATGTTGGTAGAAGCATCACCGTGGACTACCTTGCATCTACGTTTACTAAATTTTACCCTTTGCATTCCAATTTCGCACCGGACGGTATTAATGAGTATAATAAGGATAATTTTTATCGCGAAAAAAAAAAAAAAAAAACAATGGATAAAAGGGAAAAAATGGACAAGTCCTGACGAAAGACGTCGGGTAGGAGGATGGTGAACAAAGTAACGGTGAAAGGATTGCGTAAGCCTGTCCCTCTACCGCCTTCCTCTTCTCGGTGTCGTACATTAAATGCAGAAGAAGGGCGAGGGGGAAGAGGAAGGAGCGCAGAATATCTGGTTAGCCTTGAACTTGACTTTTCTGTGAGATGCAGTTGCGACCGTTTGTGAGTAATACCGAAGAACTTGGAACGCGTTTCGAGATTTATGGCGCTGGCCAGATACGATCTATCAAGAGCAAACCCTTATCATTGCGGCCAGTTTCTCTCGCGAGAGAGAATTTAGCCATATTTAAAATACGAGGTACATTAACGACAAATCGATTCTGTTCATTATTTTTATTGTCAATTCACAATTTCCTTGGTACAATATCTTTCGAAGCGGACGTGTAAGTAATAAATTTTACGCTTTGCGTTCCAATTTCGCACCGGCCGGTATTAATGAGTACAGGATAATTTTTATCGCGAAAAAAAAAAGAGGGGATAAAAGGGAAAAATTGCATGGACAAGTCTTGACGAAAGACGTCGGGTAGGAGGATGGTTTTTCATTAATTATAATGTTAATTATAATGTAACGAAACTTATTAATCGAGCAGCAACCGAAGGACAGATGAAAAGAAGGAAGAACTGTATGGCGAGGAGGAGAAAAAGAAAAAACGAAGCATCGAAGCATCTGGTTAACCTCGAACTTGACTAGTCGTGCGAATCGCATCACGCGTGCGTCTCCCACGTTTAGATTAATGAAATGAAAACCGACAGCATCGGTGTACAGTGTCGGATTGCAGTGTGATACAACAACGAAAGGATAAGGATAAAAATCATCTGCCATTCGTTAGAGGGAAAGAGAAGGGAAACGGCAGAGTAGAACAATAGGGGAAAAGAAGAGAAATAAACAAGGTTAAAAAAAGAAAGTTTGAAACGATAAAGAAGAGAGATTGCGTAAGCACACCACTATCCGGCGACTTGCAGCCAACCGTGTGGGGATTCTCATTTTTTTTTTTTCTTACATTCTCTCGTCTCTAACCTTTATTCGATTAAGCGGTTACCGAAACGCAGACGGAAGGAAGGAAGGAACGAAGAATGGAAAAAGAAAGAGAAACGTATCGCGGTATCTGGTTAGCCTTGAACTTGACTTTTCTGCGGGAGAAGCGGCCACGTTCGCGAAGGCCGCAAAATCGCGCCAACACACAATTTTAGCCGCCGAACTCCGACGGAAACGGCCGACTCTACGCGACCTTGAGTCACTCTGTCTGTCTCGTTCTGTCTCCGTTTCCCCTCGTTACGACCTCGCTAGCTGACACTCTTTCTATCTTCTTTTATCATCGTTTCAGTTTCCTCGTGTTCCGATGTTTCACCATCGGTCCCCCCGTTCCCACTGTCCAGAACTTCTGACAGTTTGAACGAGGAACTCTACCGTAAATCCTAACCAAAAAAAGAAAAAATAAATGATACTGTCAGAGGAGTTTGCGTGTTTTTCCATCAAATGATTTTTCTCGCTGAATCGTTAAGACCCGCATACTTTTAAAGTTGACACGAAATCGTTCACTGTATTAATGTATTTTTGCGCAAGCGACCTCTGCCTGTAGCGCGAACGCGAATCAAGGCCGTTTCATTTTGAATCAGTTTTCGTAGTTTTTCACGTACGCACGCGACACACGAAAAAAGATAAAAAAAAACAAGCAATATAGCTCGCCAATGAAGCGTCCGTTTTTAGAAGAGACCGTGACCTAAATATCGATTGCACAGATTGTTACCTGTGATCTTATTTCGATCACGATAACGCGGCTTAATTACGATTAAGGATGTCTTCGTTACGATTCCATTTTCATTATGCTCGATCTAATAATAATTCTTCTAACGCTACCGGCCGTTCCCGATGCGAACGGGGTTTTCTCTTCCGATCTGCGATCACCGTACGATCTATAAGTTTTTCAAAGTATGCGTATAAATCTAACTTCTTTTTAAACGCATCGATTATATAAGCGAGAGAAAAGCTGACGCACGAAAATAAGTTTTAACAAAAATCAACGGTTGCAGTTTCGATAGCGTTTTATTTTAACCAATGTTTCCTCAATCGCGAGTCCTTGTCGTAAATTAGAGCTGCGTCGACCGTGAAAAACCGTCATCGATCGTTGCGTTTCGTGTAAAATCGGGAAACGTTCGTTCTTTTTCGACGGAACCGTCAAGTAGATATGTAAGTACGGACGCGTAAAAAGAGAAAAGAAACTAACACTTGCGTGTGTTGCGCGCAACCTCAACCATCAAATCAACCTCATTATTAATTATCAAACGCGAATGACTCACGATTCGATCGAAACAGCTAATTAATTCACTGTTAATACTTTCATATTTTTGGATGTAAATGCACACATGTCGAAATAGGAGCACCGTTATAAGCGACATCTGGACCTCGAACCGAGTGATAACAAATGAATTATTTCGACTGAAATTATTGATAAACGGATCAATGAAGAATGTAACATTTTCATCCAATAATACCCAAAGTTGTGTACTAACAACATCTTGCTGTGCCTCTTATAATATATGCTTTCAATTTCAGATACATTGACTAATAATTGACTATACGTTTATTGTAACACCCGTTAATCATTTTTTTTTTAATGGAAATTTAGCTAGATTGAAAAAAAAAATATACTAATCGAATTGAGTAACCTCCTCCTTTTCGAAGTCGGTTAAAAACAAGGGAGAAGAATCAAAAACACGATCTTATTTTCTTCCGTTTCGACGGATGTTTACTTCCTTCGAATAAGCTTCCGATAAAAAGAAAAAAGAAACATCGCGGCACGTTTACCGTGACCATGATTTCGCAACAAGTCGATCGCGATGACCCTGAATTATTACAATAGTCGGAAACTTGCGATATTATACGAGTGTGTACGTATGTAGGTGGATACTAAATTAGAAGTTCAGAGAACAAATCGATTTCCCGAGGATGAAGACCCTGGGTCGCGGTCAAGGCCAAAAGCTTCGGTAACCACTATGTTCCGATTTTGTGACAAGTTTATCCAATAAAAGTCGCGATATTACGAGTCAGCGTAACATTCCGAACTATCGCTTAGCTAATTCGAAAATCACTTTTTCTAATCCATGCTTTACACCTTTGTCAACTCCCGAAAAAACTGAAATGTACCGAAAAATAGAATCGTTAATTCAAGATAAAGAATTATTTCGTGGACAAATAAAACGAATCTATCTTCGTATTTTTACGAAGCAAATATCGCGGGTATAAAAATTTCGTCTGTTCGCATATTGTCCAAGGTTAGGGCTGGCCCGGCTCCGAAGATGACGTCACCGACGTGTCTCGTAGTCTCAAACTTCAACGTTCCCCACCCCACCCCACCTACACTGTGGGTGCTACGAAAGCCGATGATTACCAAGCGTGCTCCTTATCAAAGCAGACAACGCATCACCGCGACTCGCGTCGACCAATCGTCGATCAATGCAGCCGACAGGCACCCCACCGTCCTCTTCGTTCGATAAGAAGCCGACCGATGCTCTTCGCGGATAATTACATTGGCATTGCTACCTCGCGCGCCTCTACCCTTGCTCCCTATCGACACTCTCGATTTCTGGTCACATCACTTTCTAACATCATTTTCCAATCGTTTGCACGTTCGCTATTATCGATCAGTAATTTTAATTGCCGTTCGTGTAACTTATACTATTAGTTTCTATATTTCTGAATATGAATAAACGTATGGTTCTTATCAGAGCACCGAAGTGAAGCTACGTTGGCCACGGTCAGCTCTTCGATAAGTGACCGATGGTGCTTTGTGGGCGCGAAAAATGAACTAAAAGAAAAGAAAGAAGACAAATTGTAATTCGAAGAAGAAGGAAAACAGAATCGTAGGAAAATCTGTATAAAGTTAAAACCTAAGAGATCGAATAGCGGAAACACATATATTCAAGTTTCCTAACCACAAAAAGATGCATGTTTCACCGCAAAAGCTTACTGACACTACGAACTCCTGTTTATCCATCCGTGCATATGTATGCGCAAGTTAAACACGGATGAATGCGCGCGTGTACAGCAGATATCTCGCGCAATTTTACAGCGTGTACCGAGATGCTGAGAGAGAGAGAGCATATGTGTATGTGTGTATGAGAAAGAGAGAGAGAGAGAGAATTAAGGCGAAGCAAGGTCTTCAATATGAGTGCACACATATGTACCACGAACGCGCTTCTACCTGCGAACACGACCTTCGCGATGCTACTCAATCGCAGAGCTGCTCTACTAGTCCATTTCCTTTTTCAAAAATATCATATAAAGAACGATTCCTTCGAATCTTTCATCCGTTTCTTCTAAACATTTTTTCAATTTCGCAGGCTACCAAAAAACAACTTGGAAAAGATACGTGTTCAACCACAACCTAATCCAGACCATGCTAGAGATACGTAAACATCGTAAGTACTTAAAAAATAAAATGGAAACGATTCGAAAACTTTTTCTAATTCAAGGTAACAACAGTCGAGGAGCCTGGAAATATCGACTGACGCATCCACGCGACGAATGTGTTCTTTTTATTAACTAGGTATCCTACGATTTCTGCTTTGCCAATCGTCTGCTCGAAATCCAGACGATTTTATTTCCGGTCCAGGGTCAAAGTATCGCGATTAAATCATTTCTATGTTTCATATTACCTTTCCTATGATCGAAGTGTCGAGTAAAATCGAAAGTAAAGGGAGATCCCATGATCGTCTGCATCTTATGCACGTGGAATTGCGTAAGACTAGAGCCGCGTGGGTGTAGGTGTGCATGAGAACACTTTAATGCGTTCAATCAGATAGACACCATGCGTGCAAGCCACGAAATATGTCATTACGTGATTATCATATCGTCACTCTAATTAGGAAACCTTGTAATTCTACTTTTGGCAAAACATTTTCGAATAAACATAGTACAATTCAGTACAGGATAATGATCTTGTAAAATTAAATTATTTAAACAAATTTTCCCAATGAGTGTGTTAATATCAATGATCACAATACAATCGGCATTATTTCTAATGAGATAAATTCTTATTACAATGAAAATGACAAAAATTTAACAATTTAGTCGAGTATCATTGAAGAAATGGAAATATTTAGAGAAAGTTTTTCGACTCCGGTCGTCGGTTTAGGCATACCACATCGTCATCAAAACAAACAACTTTTTCATATCGATATTCCCTATGTACATAGGTATACGTGGAACAAGTAAAATATTTCAGCGAATACTTGGCGTCTTACATTTGAAACGTAAATTAAGTTTTTATTTTTAAAAAATTTCCCGCACGAGGGTTAGAAAGGACGAAACGAAAAATGCAAAACAATCGCGAATTGTCAGTTACGTTAAAAACCGGCAGGCGTAGAAAAATGATCGGTGAGTTACAGGATAGATTACCTAACAGACACGTCGTAACGTAATAACCGAGTTGTCGCTAAAGCTGACTGACGGTACGCGAACGAAGATAATACGTATTCTTTTTGTATCGGAAAACAGGCGGGTGTGAACTTGCTACTGATACAATCGAAACCATTTGTACACAAATGTTTCCTATTTCAGGAATTAGACAAATTCCACACGCAAAAGCATCGAGCATTTGCGCTGGTAACCTTTCTCCGAACGTAGCAAAATAAATTTTGTTTAATAATTCTTATAAACAAAACGTCACGCATCAAAATGGTTTCCATTTCGCATCGATCAAAATTCTTGCCGTTGTTCGATCGAGAGACCAACGGAAAGGAGCAAGATACGCGCGCGCAGCAACGTAAACAAAGCCACGAGAGAAAGATGAGAGGTTATGTGTATACGGCACCTACCACATCGTACATCCAGGCCTCCATGGCTGTCAGTTGTTTCCCTTTTCAACAACACGAAAACACCGTGCTTCTATTCTTTACGCTTTTCCACGAAGAAAAAGCGAGAACGACCACGAAGTCGAAGATCCGATCACACATGAACAAGACACACGCGTATATGTACGCACCACCCCGTACCACGACGTTGACGGCGCGACGAGCCGTACGCGACTGACGGCAATATAGAGGATACGGTAATACACGAAGCCAGCCGATCCTAACACCGGGCGCCACAAATCCGCGAAACACATTTCTTACGCTTAATTACCTTATCATTTATTTTATAGTCGAATACTCCAACGATGCATGGAATCAGTAACGTTACAGAGGCTAATTTTTGCTATTAAATTCCATACTGTTATTAATTTATCAAAGGGAAGATGTTTCCAATTTTATAACTCGATTTCTACGACGTATAAGCGTTCCATAACAAATTATAGCATTTTTAAATTTGGAAAATTACATTTGATATAACTATCTACCAGTCTAATCTAAATTGCAACTGTTACCACGTCGTTCAAGTACACGATATCGCTATGAATATTATCACAGTCATGACCAATCGGTCATTAACTTCTGGCCTCGAATCAATTTGAAACGAACCAAGGTCTCTTGTACAGTCAAATTTAATTCGAGTCGAAATATAGTAAATATAGTCAAAATGAATAACCTTAAAATTAAATTACGTTTCAAAGATATCTTTAGAAATTCGTGTATCCGTTGTACAGAAACGTAAACGAAAGAGAAACGCGAGGGCATTGCGTACGCGTACGTACGGGACAATTGAATTTTCAGACGTAGGTAGATCGATCGAGCTCCAAAACTCTCCCTTTACCCCCATAATTGGACCGGTCCAACGGCTGGTCCTAAGTTGATACGCTACTGGCGTTATGCGTGCTACGTGTACATCGTGATGGAAGGGTGAGTGGGTGGGAGACGGAGGTGGGTAAATGTGGCTTTGGCTGCGACGGCAGAGCGGTGGCCAGCAACGGTGGCGGCGGTTGTGATGGTAATGGTGTCGCGGCGGTGGCGGCGGCACTGGAGGCGGCGGCTCCGCGGCCGACTAAGGAGGGGGGAGAGGAAGGCAGCCAGTGGCCTTGAACTTGACTGCCGCCGTTTTTGCGCACAGCCGTCGCCCGCCCAAAACAGCCCACCAGCGTAGACTCCGGAGTTTTCATTCCGATGATACCACCTCCCTTAACCCATTAATTCTCAGACGTTGAAAATATATTATTATTCACGATAACAAACATCAAATACTGCATATATTGTACGCGGGCTGGTTTTTGGACTAATTATTCACAACGGACATATGACGCAACCATACGGTATACGCCTGTATTATCGATATTTTGTCCTTGCCCTGGATACTAAAAATTATTGAGATAATCAAAGAATTATGAATTAGATATCACACCAATTGCGTAAAATATCTAGCAACCTTTTTGAGATTTTTGTTCGAAACAAAACTTAATGTTTGTGCATTACAAAAAAATACTTCGTATAAGAACATAGTTTTAGGGGAAACATTGAAAACGCAAGAAATCGAAAAAATGACACTAATAAATGACGAAAGGAACGAATACAATGTAGAAATACGTCTTCGAAAATGTTGTCAGCAAATAAAAAAATAATAATGGGACCGGTGCCAATGGAACCAGCCGGTAAAAATATATGTATAACCAGGGTTGAGGTAGGTAGTCTACAAACTAACCGGATCGATATGGCACTCTCACTTTCTCATATTCTCGATACGTTTATCTGTGTCGTATCTATGGTGCTCTGCGTAAATTTCGAAACCTTTCACTTTAAATGAATTACTTTGTGCAACTGTAGTGACATTTAAATGGTTGTACATACATACTATAAGATTACCTACAGATTAATTATGTTAATGTAATATTACAGCAAATCATTAGGAAAGAGTACAAGCGAGTGGATTATTAAACGATATTAAATAATTATAAAGAATCAATTTCTGAGCGAGATGTAACAGGCTTGCTATACATTGAGAAAAACTTTTCATCAAAAATATTTTTAAGAAATATGTAACTCTTTTCCTTTTTCTTACACCTAATGTATTCAATCAGAATTGATATATAAATGCATAAAATATATTCAAGGAAACTATATGTTATAATAAATTTAATTTAGTACTCGTAGTTTCTAAAAAGGCAAACATAAACCGTCGGTAATATAGAAATGTATCATTTCATCCGTCGGTATTATTCCAAATATTTAAATAATTGCTGTGCTTTTCATTATAATGCTGCAATACCAAATTGTACTTGTATATAATTTCTATAATTAAACAAACGTAATGAAATTGTTTGGGATGTTCCATGTATTTTTTGACAATATAATACTCCTTTATTTCAAGAGCACATTAGTTTCCTCTTCAAATAGAACCTCTTACACGCAAGATGCAATGTATATTTTTGTAAATATAATCAGAATTAACATTGAATCACAAAATTAACAATTTAAATATGATGTACAAATAAAAGAATATTGTACCATTAAACAATAAAACTTTAGTTAATATTAGATGAAAAGCATGGTACGGAACTGAACATCACATTCTTATTTATCGTCACATGCTTGATTTCATAACTCTCGTTTTTTTGGACGAAAAAAATCAAGGCCATAATAGCAGTTGTGAAACCCGCGAAGCTAATTTCAATAGCAGACAGCAACTTTCGAAAGAAACTTAAAGAATTGTAATTTATATTGTAAATATAAATCGATGAATGTTGTAAATTCAACAATTACATCCGGAATATTAAATAATTGCAAAGAGCATAACGCACAGTAAGATGTAAACGAATTTGTAACAAAGATGGCGGAGTAAAATTTGGCAGATCGTTGATACTCAATTATTTTCACTGTATTCGCAGCACTCATAAATAATATTAACAAATATGAAGCAAGATGAAACAGCTTACCATAAAACTCGTAAACACCTTTTTATCTCCATCGGAAAATCAACATTTTCAATCACAAGAAAAATATTGGAGCAATGGCCGATTCCACAACTCACTAGGAGCAGAAAACTCGATGACTTCGATTGTAGTGCGCGTGGCGCCATCGAACGTTTGTTATATAGACAAGAATTATACAGGGTATTGCCGACCTAATGACACAACTGAAAACGGAATGAATCTACATAATAAACTAAGTTAAAAATGTACAGTGACACTTCCTCGTACGAGGCTTTATTTGTGAATAAATGGCTGCGGAAAATCCATCGAGATTTCTATATTTTAAAAAGACCGCCATAGCGGAAAAACATATGGCGTCATCTAGCGTCACCGAGCTTTTTTACATCGTTTTTTAGTTATCTTTAACACCAGGTGGCGTCTTTTTTACAGTGGGGCTAAATGTTGCATGAAATGACATCGAAAAGTTTTAAAAACCATAGCACAGATAAATGTTTCAACAAAAAGTTTAAATAAAATAATGCGTGCAAACTCGTATTCTATTTATTGTTGTTTTAACATTCTAGTATTTGCAACAAAATAAATTTTCTTTTATAAAAGAATCATATAAAACGAGGGACATTAATAAATTATCAAACTTTCACAATCTCACAAGATACATTGTTCGGATTCCACTTGCCATTATTCACTGCTCGTACATACAATTTGGCATAAGTATATTTTTGCAGTCGTTCCGGATTTAAAACGATAGATTCATTCAGTGGTTTACAACAGTACTTAATATCAGAAGGTAAAATCATGATGTGCGGTTGACGTTCAAAGCAAGCATATTTTTTCCAAAGTGTCGTATCGAGATTCAACCCTATAAAAGGTGGATACAAAGGATAAAAGGAAGCTTGGGATAATACGTGATCGGCTAAACGACCGACTCTATCCATTCCCGATGTGTTCCTAATAAAATTTGTTACGTTAAAATTGATATTATATTGTATTTAATTATTCCTGTACTTACGATACTTCCTGCTGTCCAAGTTGTCTAAGAACATCCACGGAAGTGATTCCAATTTCTAAACCTTCTACGCTTATTATACAAGGATCTGGCATAGAATGAATATTCGCCACATTCGATCCAATTTTGTTTGTATTTATGGTAAATTCTGGTGTTGGATAAACCGCATCATGATGCGCATCACGATTAGAAGATACCAATATAACACGAGTACTTTTCCTACGTTAAAGGCAAACTTACTATCAACGATTCGAGAAAACTTAATGTAATATAAAAACTAAACGCAACTTACCCTTGCAAATACTGTACGATTTTTCCTAAAATTTTGTCAAAAAAGTCTTGATAAGTATCTCTCAAAGTACACTTTTTAATTTCAGGATGGGTGTATTCTATAAAAGGGCCAACCAGTATCAATATATCCGGTTCTTCTTCTACAACGTGTTCCATAAGATCCCATAATGGTTGATAATTTAAATTGTCAGATGGCGTAAACGGGCCAACTGCAACGTATATCCTTAAATCTTTTAATAATTTTGGTACATCCGCTAACACTGCATGACCCTTGACGAATAATTCTTTCGCTACTAAAGCGTTTCCCCCTATATTAATACCTTCCACGGCAAGTATTTGACCCGGGAAAACTGAATAGTGTTTAATACCACTGAGATCCAAACGTACAATAGGTGCGTTGTTATTACCTTTGGATCTTTTACATCCTTCCAACATGACGATTTTACTGCCAATCGATTTATCAAACACGATGAATATTCTACCCCATGTTCTAAACGGTACTTGACTTATCGACGAAACATTTCTCACGTAACGCACATTGGGCTTAGTGGGTCCCATCTTCTCGTCCCATACATGGCACAGTCGCTCACCAAAACTCTCACAGTTACTAGTAAGAGCAGACCCTTGTTTGGAGAGCATTTCGTACATGTACACCACATCTTTGGGTACATGGGGATTATCTGCTTTAACGATCGATACATCCTGTTCGATTTGTTTCCGCCAAGACTTTACCCCGGGGCCAAAATACAAGAGAACTTTGCCACTGACTGTCGAACTCGGTGCACGATTCGGTACGGTTCTATGAAAAAGCAAACATGAAATATCAATTATAACCAAATATCAATTATAAAAAATACAAATAATCTTTTAAGATTGAAATTCATACAAAATATTAGATGCTCATAACGAAGTAATAGGATACTGTAAATATAATTTTAAATAAAGAAATTGCTTACACGTTTGTAGTATAAGTTGATGGAGTAAATATTTGATCCACTGCTCGGATTTTATTATCATTTTCATGTACTGCCGTTGGACTCCTTATACGTTTATTTTGCTTAAAAATAAATAAATAAAATACATTATTAATGAAATGAATTTTCCTGGATATACAAAGATAATTCATAGATAATTCAGGGTATATTCCGAGAGAAGAACAGACCACCGTAGACGAGTATGTATCTAGTCACGAAACAAAGTAAAACGTGCACCACATTCATACTCGTCTATGGAATTATCTGTTTTACATCGTTCCCGGTCAGCTATCATTTCCAAACGACATTTATGTTTTCGCGCCAGTAGAGAAAATTTGATTTTCATAAACCCAGCAACGGGATTCCGATGTTTAAACCCAAACGTGCTTAATGAGTGGGGATCTAGTCACAATTTGATCATCTGTGCACTAGACCTTCACTCATTTGGCAAATCCAGGATAAATTCTCCTTTTCTTCTTATCCGTCACTTTTATATTGTCGTAAGGCTTCGATTATCGATAGTTTTTCAATTAAACGCCACGATAAACAATCGATTTGAAACTCATAACATTACGCAGTAAAGAAAAGTAAGTAGTTACATAGCAGGCTCGCGTTCAAGAGTCAAGATAACGAGAAGGGTTAATAGTTGTTAACCTGACCATTCTTGGCACTTGCTTTATTACGTATTATTTCAATCAAGTTCAGGCTATTTCTTATACTTTGCGTTCGATGCTCTTACATTGAATTAAAAACCAACTTTCTTGGCTCTTTAATTCATCGATCAGTTTTTTCATTGGTACGTTTCAAATTCTTTTGAAAACATCATGCCATTGTTAACGAGAAGAACTGTTAATTGACTTGTGTTGAAGTATTTAATAATATATAAATTATTTATATTTTATTTACAGATTGTACAAGTAAGATGTTCTTAAACATTAAGAGGTACAAACGTGAAACTTATTTGAACGATACTTGCTGTACCAGATTGTGTAAAACTTTAGGTCGATCACCGAGAGCTGTCCTCTTTCCCCCTCTTTTCTGGTGTATACACACAGAGTCAGGAGACTATTTCTCCTTCTATCCCTCTCTCCACAAACTATCCGCCCCTGGCAATCTTTCGCCCCACTGTTCACAAAGATACCGTGGGAAATAACGTGGACCTTTTACCAGATACAGTTGTAGCACGCCACGAAATCCGTTGCTATTCTATTCACTTTTAAATACAAGTACTTACATACCCGTTTTTCCCTTCGTTTTTTTATTTTTTTTTTTTTTTTTTTATTTGTAGATATTTCAAATTTTCAATTTATTGCGTGGAAGAAAGAACATAAGCAAGTACAAAATTAGAGCAAAGTGAGGAAGAAGATCGGACTGTCAGTTGTTGGTCAATTGTACTTAATTGATAGATGTGAGCAACTCCCTAAGGAACCGATCTTTCAACCATGAACAACTTAAGAAAGCTAAAATTTTATAATTTACTTACGTTCAATATTAGAGTAATAAACGACTGTTTTTTGGAAGATCGAACAGGAATTTAATAAACTGATCATAAGTAAAAATATCAGAATAAAGTAAAGATACCTTAAATTTATTCAGTAGACAAAGAGACTAATTTTTGCGACAGATTTATATATGATATTGAAAAACTCAATGCAACGAGCGGTACCCAAAGAAGCATGCGACGTAGTCGAAGCAACAGGTTGTAGCGACGCGACGCTCAGGACTCAACGAACGGTCGACGACATTCGCGTGCGCGCACACAGCTATACAAGCGATCTTTTTTTTCTTCTCTTTCTCGTATATACAATACTATTCTCTCATTATACACACATACATATATACATATATATATATATAAGCTTGTGTATCAACGCGAGAACAAGGTTATCCGTGAACTTTCCTAATGTTAGCAAATACATTTATCACGCGTTCCTTGTAATAATATCTGATGATAACTTCAATGTGAAAGATTGAAGAAACGAATTTTTTATTTGAAACCAAATATATTTTGTTTCTTATGAAATTAATCTAATGTTACGTCGCAAAAAGAAAAAAATAGAGAAATATCATAAAAAATGCTAGAGAAAAGTAGAGAAAATTTAAACAAACAATACTAGAAACAGTAGTATAGCAGTAGAAATAGCAACAGGTCGTTGTGATGCAAAGCGCTATTACGATTGGCGGAATAACTTTGGAGTATGAAATTCACTGAAACCAAATTCCATAATGGCCGACGCTTTGACTCGACCGTTTCAAAGATTGAATGCACATCGTTCACTCCCTGATATAAATACCATTGTGCAAATATTATTTGCTTACTTCACAACAATAAAATATCCACAGTTTTCAGCTTACGAGTACAGAATGTAAAATCCACACAACAGGCCGGCAAATCACTGAATAATACACTCCGAATCCGCGTGACGCGCTGACAGTCGGTGGCGTCGTCGACTCGACGCCATCAAGATATTCGTATATTTAGTTATTTTTCAAAGATACAATTAATAATTACATGCACACAAACGATACAGCTATTCCGACGAACGATTATCGGAATAAATTTTAATATAATACGGAAACTGTCTGTAAAAATGCACGGAACAAACAACGCTTTGTTCGAAAAGATCTGTAAGCACGCGCGCATCAGGATGATAATGGAGTCTGGGTCCTTGAAAACTGAAATCGTACCCTTTGAAGAAATCTGGTCAGCTCTCTTTAGATGGAAGAATCCCTCTCTACACGATACGGAACGGGTATACTATCCTTTTTCTACCAATAGGAATGAATTCCCCTCCACGAAAGTGTCCTTTGTGTGAGAGTGGGAAAGAATGAAGAGGGGATAATGGCGGCGATCTACCTGGACGATTTTTGTGGCGGGAATTACGGTGCCTCGACAAGATCCTATACACAACAACGCTTTACCTCAGGATCAGAAACCACCTGTCGGGAAATAGCATCAGAAATTTCACTGGTACCGTAACTATTCGACATCAATAGCAAATGTAACAGATAACATAATATTTTGCTTTGTGATAGAATTTGTTAATAACAATATTGTAATCATATTAAAGCTTTTATTTGTTCGGAAAAATATTTTTCTCATCTCAAATTAGTCATAAAAACTAATAATCAATAAGAGATACAAAATATAACTTCGATATAATTTTATCGTTAAAATAATATTTAAAACATTATACCTGCATTTTACAAGGTTCGTTTCTCTTTAGATTCAAATTTCAAATATCTTGAAGCTACTAAATTTGGATAGTAAAAGAAAAATTGTTATTTAAGTATTGTTATTTAAATTGTTATTTAAGTATTGTTTTTTATTTTTCGTATAAGTTTGTTAAGTAAGGAACTAAATATTCTATTAAGAATAAATCTACAGGTAGAAACTTTACGTCATTGCTACTATAGACCATAAATCGACCATAAAGAATGTGAGACAGTGTTGCCAAAGCGATGTAAATCATTGCAATGCCAAGGTTGAGGTTCGACATAAAAGGTATCTTTCCAACAAAATTGTAAGAAATATCTGTATCATTTTTATCGCTTATTTATTTTTATGGTTATATACGAAACATACGTGAAACAAATTATTCATATGCATAAGCTTATTACATTATGGAAATAAACATCATTATTGACCTGAAAATATTGTTTATATAAAACTTTAAATTGTAATTACGTTGGAAGGATATTGTAGATTGTAAAAAATAGTGTTATATAAGAACAATTATACGTGAATTTCAGTTGTAATTCTTATAACGAGTAGTTTTATAAATCTGGCAACAATGCCGAAAGACGATTACAGGGGTGGAGACCTCCCCTCTTGAAAGAAAGAAAGAAAGAAAGAAAGAAAGAAAGAAAGAAGGAAGGAATAAGGGGAAGGAACAGCTTTTGAAATCATCAAAATAGCTTGGCACCAACTTCGACAACGTGTACAATTAGACGAAAAATACGCAGCTTTTATGCGATTTAAATTTATGAAATTTATATGTAAAAATTCATAATTCAAAATTAATATACCCCATGTGATCATATTTTTAATTAAAACGATTTTGTTTAAAGAAAAATATTTAATGATTCTGAGTGCAGAAAAATAAAATAAAAACTCACCTTTAATTTAGAAGATTCTCCAATGATATACATATCCAAAATGTTGTCACTATTCCCATAATATATACCAAGTATATATAAGGATAATATGTAGACACAAGATAAATAAAATTTTACTACATTTAATTTCTATAACAGCACATCAAAGGATACCTTATTTCTTGACTAGTTTTATCATTAACTTGTGGGCACGATATTGTGGATGTTGTCGCATTACACATATCTTCTTTGGTTTTTATTTTTAATTCTTCTTTTTCCATTTTATTAAGATTGTCTATTGTTGGATCAATATCTAAAGAATGTGGAACCGCATATGCTACCCATAATTCCACAAATGTTTCTTCATCCATGTTGTGAGCACGACAAAGTTGAAGACCTAATTGAAAACATTTTTTATAAATAAAAATTGAATAATAAAAAAGTAACATTTTAGAATAAGATAATAAAACATAAATATTAGTAATATTTTCTAAGATACGCTATATCTGTAGCTGTACACATATTAGTGTAAATAGTTTTAAAAAATCATCAAATACAAGATATATGTTCAGAAAATTGAGTTATAACAACTTCTAATCAATAATATGACTCGATAAATATATAAACATTAGAAATATGATCATTCCTATTTTACATTATAGGTTAACAAATAACTTACATCTTTCAATAACAGATTTATGTGGAACATTACAACCCAAATTACAGAAACACGAAATTAAGGATTCTTCTGACACCATTTTGCTACGTCAACTACGTTCTCAGGTTTTTCCCGCCAATCCAACAAGTAAAAGAACATGCGCAATGCATCCACTATTGTTCGCTTCTGTATGTTGTTCTGATACGACGTGTTTTCGTTCGTTCTGCGCATGTTAACTCTGATTGGCTCAAGCATATTTTGTTTAGGCAAGCACATTGTATGACTTAGCAGCATATCCGGTGGTCTTATATTTAGTATACTAGTCGACTTTCGACATATCGGACGTGATTGTTCTTTTATTCGTATATTTTTGTCCACCGTGTATATGATGATGAAGTGCCACGAAGTTGAAAGAAAGATAGAGGGCCTCACTGAGCTGCGCAAATTAGGTATGTTCTTTCGTTGAATAACAAATATAAAGAATATGTTGAAATACGCAAAACATTATATTTATTTTTACAAAACTTTTTATTCGTTTGAAATGATTAAAGAAACAATGTATTAATAACTTTTGGTAAGATATGTATGTTTTTCATACATATATACATACGTACATTCATACATATACACACGCACACACAAAGATGTATACACATGTACACATCACAGTATTCAAAATTTTAAAAAATCACACAAGAATGTAAGTATAGCTTTATCAGTGGAGACACTGAGTAATTAATTATTTTCAAATGAAAAATGCTGTTCATCTTTTTTCCAAACTTCGGTAAGAATTTCTGAGGTGTTTGTAGAAGAAAATCTCTCCATCCAAGACTGAATTAATCCAGCGAAATTGGGTTCATAATTTTTCAGTTGTACTTCACTTGTACCTGTTGATATTATAATCCAATTAGCGTAAATAGTATAATAATATAATTGAACGCATAAAATTTTACCACCTTTTACAAATGTATTAGACTGCACAAATATTTTTCGTGGCTCTTTATGAGCTAATATTATATCCCTCCAACGTGCCCATGGATGAGGTCCTGTTTCAGGTACTTCACTATATTTTTCATACATTTCTTTGGCAGCTTCAATATCCCCTGTACTTTTGTAAATTTGTAATTTAGTTAAGAAGTCTCCAATTGCTTTTTTACCAACTGTTAGGATTTTTGATCTATCAACAGTTAATAATAAATTTTTCCCGGGCTCAGATTCTATAACATTAACAAAATCATTGCCAGCTTCTAAACAAACTCTGAGTAAAACATATCGTGCTTGAGAATGAGCTTGCAACCATTTTTTTGTAGATGGTTGATACATTTCTAAGGCTTTTGCACAACCAGTCCACAATAGAGATAACCAATTCACATATATTATGTCATCTGCCACAGGACCTTCGTGTCCAAATATACTTAGTATATCTTTCTCTAAAGATAAGTACAGTCCGACTGCTTCAGCTCTACATTCTTCATAAGAAGATCCCAGTGAACCGAACTTTGAATCGTATGTTTCACCCGGTAAAAAAAATTTATTTATTAACTCGCCAGTTAAAGGATTTTTTACTTTTCCATTATCAAAATTATATGAACCATCTTCTAATTGTCGCAATAATTTACCTGTCCCATGACCAAGAAGTTCATGTAACCCAACTTGTACTTCAAAGCTAGCAACTCTATAAGTATTCATCAGAGTTTGATCATGTTCAGATAAAAATGGTATTATATCTAACTTCATATTAGCTGGAATTACGTTACCCAAAGAAACATTCTTAAATCCTTCTGATTGTCTAATTTCATCATAATTTGGGATATTTATACCTGCAGGAATACCTGATCCTGAGAATGTTAAGACATCTAAAGAAGTAAAATCAGGTCTTAAAAATTCATCCTTTTCAAATTCTTTACCCCAAGGAAGTTTGGGTATAAATTTTTCAGCATTATCCACCAATGTAGCAAATTTCTTAGACATTTCTTTGTTTACCATAGCTACAAATCCTTCGAATTCTCCCCTCTGTCCTGCAGGATCTCTATAAGTTTCAATAAAACCAATGTAAGTTTCTACAACTGGTCCTCTATTCTTAATCCAAAAACGAGAACCATCTTTATGAGCTTGCAAAGATCCTGTTTCAAAATGTTCTATGTATTTGTCCAGCATATTTTTTTCAATTTCATTAGCAGCATATTCCTTTGCTTTTCTAAGATTTTCAACAACTGAAACCAAAAGTTTGCTGTAATCTCCTCTTGTAATTTTAAATTTAGCATTTTGAAAAATTTCTTCTGGCAATGTAATATGAGGATCATTGTCTGTCTTTACACAGGCTAATCTGATTTCATAGGTGTCTATATTTTCTGCAGTTGTTTTAAAACACCTTGCATTGTAAGATTCCAATCCTTTTTTCTGCATAAACTCATTAACTAATTCAGCATCTTTGTCTGTACAATTGGCAGAAAAATAAGTGGTAACACCTTTTTCACCAAGCCCCAATGATTTTAATTTTCCATTTATATTATATATTATATTTTGAATTCTATTCCAAATTTTTTCAATATCTTTAGAATTATCTTTATATGCCTTTGAATTTTTTATTAAAGTTTCAAATTTATCTTTTGGTAAGTTAGGAATTATTTTACTGTCACCAAATGATTTATAGTTACCAGCATTTGCAAAAATGCCACAAGTATATACCAAGAAAGCCTGAAAAACCAAGTTTATTACTATTAAAATTTCAAATATATGTTTTAAAAGATAAAAATAAAATATTTATCATATTTAACTTACAGTAAATTCATCTTCGTTAATACCAGCATCAAGTGCAGATTTTTTCAATTCATCTATTGTTTCAGTTATAAAAATCTTATGCAAAAGTGCAAATATTAATGATGATTCTGGAGAAGTTTGTACAAATACAATCAAACCACCATGCCATGCAGCTTGACTTAAATAATGTGCATACAGTTTTTCATTTTTTGTTAAAGCATTAAATGCAGTTTCACATTCTAAAGAAATTACTGGTTGATTATTTGGCAAAGTAAATAATGAAATATCTTCACCCATTTTTGTACTTAACAGTCTTACACTAGAATATAAAATTACAATTATAACTCAATGTACTTTATTAAAATAATAAGTCTTTATATAAATAAATGCACTATTATTTGATTAATAAATTTACAAAATGGATTTAAGACTAACGCGTTCTATACGAAATATCAGTAATTTAAGCAAGATTAAAATTCCTTTTGTGCTTATGTTTTATATATCTATACATTGTATAGTTACATGTCACGCGGCACATAACCCACCTCAAAACAAAATTTGTTTTCGTGTATTTAATTTGTCTACTTGCACTCCAAAGTTTGTTAATATTTCTTTTCTTAAAATTAACATTAAATGAAAAAGGTCGTAACGCACAGTACAGTATTTTTGTAGAAATAATCGATTGTCGATAAAGTTGCCACGTGTGCAAATTGAACATTTTAATTTACAAAAAGAAACAAATAATATTATATCTGAACGTTTAAATAGATAATTAAACTATTGTTTACAATTAGAAAGACATTTTTGTCGTGTATAAAAAAATTTTTAAATATAAGAACAATTATCAAAATGTCCTAGATAATCTAGTTCTTAACTAGTAGTATATTTTTATGTGTTTCTTACACTTTTTAGTATATATCTATACTTGATGTCACGAGAGTCCATAACTGCGAAAAGACCAGTTTTCGTTCTTTTCTGCGCATTGTCGCTTTGATTGGCGATACTTCCAGCGGAAGTGGAAAGCGATTGGCGGATAGCTTTCCCCCACCATCGCTGCGTTCCCCCACCATCTTCCAACCTGCGCGCTTAGTTATGGACTCTTGTGACATCAAGTATACTTACATTTAAGGTGATGCGAGCGTCAAAAACTTTACCGACAGACCCTAGAACAATCCCTAGACGCGAGTTCTCAAAATACGTCCTCATTTCTAAACAGAATGAAAAAAAATTTGAGGGATGTGTTCAGGAGGCTCTAAAGAATATTAGTCTGGTCCTTATATTATCCAAATCGTCAAAAAGTTATAAAATATTGAAATTGCTGTCTGTCAACGGTCAAGAAAATGGCGGATCGGACTCACCTAGATTGATTTATTCGTAATATAAACATTTCTGCCAATAGTTTGTCCAAATAGGCACCAGACTAATATTCTTTGGGTCGGATAGAATAAAACGAGCACCTAAGGGATGATGTACAAGTCTCCAGGTAGAAGTAATTTGAAAACTACGATTTCATTCACTCGCGAAAGACGTCAACAAGGTAAAACAGACCAGAAATTTAGTTTCTCCTTCATTCTGCAGGGCGCAGTTCGTTCGTTTGATTAATAAACAATTGTAAAGTTGAAAATAATAATTAAATAATTTTTAATAGAATAATTAAACAAAATTTTGCAGTATACCCACGCGGAAATGTAAAGAAATAAACAATTTAAATAGATATAACAATAATTTGATTAATAAACAATTGTAAAATATAAAATAATAATTAAACAAATATTAACAAATATCAGATAGAAGTAGTTAAATGTAAGCAGCCGCGGAACCGGTGAAGCGGAACGTCATGCTTGACTGGCCGCTTCGCGCGCCGGTACAACGGCGACCTGGAGGAAGGTCAAGTCTAGTCAGTCTTATCGCGACCGCCGAAGGATACGGATGGAGCTGCCAAACATATACCGGTACGGGTTGACACTATGGATATTCGTGCATGGATTTATCAGTGTGTTACCACAAGTGTTTCTATGTGTGCCTATGGTGTTTCTTATAGTGTTTCCCTTGTGTTTTGGAATATTTATACGGATATATTAGTGCGTTTTATGGCGTGGTCACCCATGTGTTCTAACATTTTTATACAAGTGCATTAGTGTGCCATGTGGTATGGTACCCTATGTACCTGCATGTGTTTTATTGTGTTTTATGGTGTGGTTTCCATTGTGCTTTGGCATATATTTACGGATTTATTAGTGGGCTTTATGGAGTGGTACCCTATGTGTTTTGGCATATTTATACGGATTTATTAGTGGGTTTTATGTAGTAGTACCCTTTGTGTTTTGGCATATTTATACGGATTTATTGGTGGGTTTTATGGAGTAGTACCCTATGTGTTTTACTATAATTTTGCAAATATTTTATAGTGTTCTATAGTTTTAATCTTCGAGTGATTTGGGATGTATTTGCATGTGTTTTACCGTGTTTTATGGTGTAGTTATTCCCATATAGTTTTGCATGCATATTTTTGAATTATCCTATGTATTAACATATTAACTACAACAAATTGAGAGAAAACATATATCGTTCAAGAATCGTGATTTTTATGCTTTCAGATGAGTGCTTTGGCCAGTGGGGATACCGTTTCTTTGACGAGCCAACAGACGAGCTATGGATCAGTCTAACAAAAAGATGCGTGGCGAGTGCAGTGGTGCAAGTCAACGATTGGTGAGTCGCATGCTTTAAAGTTCCTCCGGTTCCCATCATGTCGTAGGACGAATGGTCCGTAGCGACACGGGAATTGGTTGTAATTTTTATTTTTTGAGCGAGCATAGTGACCCACGAATATCACTGTATCATTTTATACAATGATAATCGTGCAAATTGGTTTTTTGTGCATTTTATGTCTTAGCTCAGGATAGGGTTTTCTTGTACATATTTACATATATAAATTTCGAGTTTAAAAATGTGGAGAAGTCGGATAACCCTCCGACTTCACAATACACATTCTTTTTTATATGTACAAGAATTTATTTCGCGATGAGCGGATTTCAATATCAAAGTAATAAGCATAAATACGATTAATTATTACAACTACTTACTTTGATAACGAAATCGCTCTTGAAATTGAAACGATTTTCCGATTTTCCGATTTTACTCGTGAAATTGGCACCAGTTTAGTATACGGGCTGGCCCCCAGGGGGGTCGGTATTTGCTCTTCAAGCATTGTATAAAGTTCCCCTTTCGAACTTGAAATTCATTCTGTCACGTTCACGGTTCTCGACCCTAAACACTCATCATTCGCACTTCAGCCTCACGAACTCTATCACATAATCATTTATCCATCTGCATACCCTTGTGTAGTGAAATAATACCCCGTTAGGATTTTCAAGTTATAGTAGTGTTGCGAAAAATTTTTAACGCGAGAATAAATATTACCCCGTTAGGATTTTCATATTTAAGTAGTGTTGCGAAAAATTTTAAACGAGAGAGTAAATATTAACCCGTTAGAATTTTCAAGTTTAAGTAGTGTTGCGAAAAATTTTCAACGCGAGGGTAAATATTACCCTGTTAGAATTTTCAAGTTTAAGTAGTGTTGCGAAAAATTTCCGGCGCGAGAGTAAATATGACTATACACTGACTAGTATTCGGTGGGAATCCTTTTGGTTTTTATTTGATAAAATTAGTTACAAGGATTCCGCGGCATAAGACCGTGAACACCACCTCATGGGAGATAAAACCATGCATTACTAGGCCTTTGCAGGCACAGCCATAGAGTACGGAACATTTAAGTATGTTGCATCCCATACGCTAAGCTGTCTTAAAGTCCTTTTGCCTATACTATGGGCGTCCACCACTCGGACACGTTGGATGCAACGTGTTCGATGGGTGGGTAGCGCTCTTAGCGAAGGGGTGCACCCTGCCTGGGCCTAGAGCCTTAAACAGGCGGGGTGGGTGGTATGTAGCGTAGGGCGCTAGTCCAGGGGGCCTAAGAACCTCCGTTGCCAGCTGATATTAGCAGTGCACCATGTTTTATGTCATAGTTGCTCAATTTTGCTCTTCTGTATTTGCTCTTCAAGCTTTATATTTGCAAAGTCGAGTCACTTTTATTAAAAATAAAACTCCCTGGGGGGGCCAGCCCATATACTAAATCGGAGCCGTGAAATTTCGCCGATATTCTTACTTTTAATAAAGTGAGAATATCATCTTTAGTTTTTGCTAATCATACGTTTTAGCTTAGGCATTTCAGCACACATGAAGAAAACTGGTAGGTGAAAATACCTTTGGCCTTGTTCATTTTTATGCCCAAAGCTCATTCGGGTACTTAGATGTACTCGCGTGGGTGGAGGGCGGTGGACAAGGTTTAGTTTTAAGTGTAATACATTTTGGCGACTGACAAAAGTAGTGAACCAATAGTGAACCACGATACAAGTTCCACATGTGTGTGTGTGGTTAGGATGTGGGATTTGTATCGTTTATTAACAATCTTAACTTACTATAATATTACAAAATAATTATCATGAATAAATTGAAAAATTTTTACATTAGATAATTGAATAGAATACAAAAATGAAATGTATTACTTTAGCATAATGTTCACTATTATTTGTCAGTCGATTTCAGCAAAAAGGTATGATTTTATTAGAGTGTGAAAGTTGAATTGAACTCGGGTGTCGGAGGCGTCCCGGGACGTTCTCTCTAGGTGTAGGCATTTTTGCACCCGGGTGGTTGTATGAGAACCGTGGAGTGAATTTTTGTGAGAATGATTTTTGCCCTTTTTTAAATATAGCGATAGGCAGGCAGGTAGTTTACTTCTGGTGTGATTGAGTTTAGTTTATAAGTAGGCAGGGCCAGAGCAAGCTTTCATGTTTCTCTTCGTATTCTCCTCTAATACGTGAGAAGCTTGTATCTGGGGTTGGGAAACCAAAAATCAAGAGAAGAGATGAAAATGCAATTTAATTAATTTATCAATTAATTAATTTAGCATTCTCTCTTGATTTTTTCAAGGCCAAGCCTTATTAGTTTGTAAGTCGTAGTCGTGGTACTAGACCCGATTACAAAAATGAAGTATTAAAGTGAAAGTGCCGTGAAGTGAAGTGAAGTGAAGTGAAATTAAAAAGTGTTTTGTGCTTGGACATTTGCAAAAAATGTGCAGGTATGCGAGTAGCGATTCAAGGGATTGTTGCTCGTTTACGTGTTACGTTTTTACAAATGTCTGAGCAAACGTAAAATTTTCGCGAGTGATTTTTGTGAGGCTATTGCCGAAGAAAGAAGAGGCTATATGCTGAAAAGCCCCGGCAAAATTTGCCCAGAAGAGGGGAACTACTAATGGCTCTCCATCTTCGGATGGACAGTCATTCTGTCACTATGCTCGCTAATTTGTTTTTTTATTTTTTGTGTTTTTCCTTGAACGGTATGAATAATACCGTCCAGGACGTATTGAACTCGACATTTTACGAGTTCAATACCCAGCTCGTTGAGTGGTCAACTCGCGATTTTATTTCCCCTATTTCTTTTTCGTTTATTGCTTTATTGAAATAAATTATTCTTTTCTTATTGATTTGCCCATCAATTATATTTTATGTTCTTATTTTAATTATGTTCTATTTATTTAAAACATACTCTGAGATTGTAATGGTAATTATATTTTCTATTTCAGCATTTTATTGTTGAATTATTTTTTAATTGTTACTGAAATTATGATGTTAATTATATTTTCTATTTCAGCATTTTATTGTTGAATTATTTTTTAATTGTTACTGAAATTATGATGTTAATTATATTTTCTATTTCAGCATTTTATTGTTGAATTGTTATTTTGTTAATTGTTACAGAAATTATGATGTTAATTATATTTTCTATTTCAGCATTTTATTGTTGAATTGTTATTTTCTCAATTGTTTCTGATATTAGGATGTTAATTCTATTTTCTATTTCAAAATTGTATTGTTTAAATTTTTATTTTATGTTTTCTGTTTTGAATGGTTTCACGTTATTGTATATCTAATCCTAATAATTATGTTTTCCGTTTCAGCATTTTATTGTTGAATTGTTATTCTCTCAATTGTTTCTGATATTAGGATGTTAATTTTATTTTCTATTTCAAGATTGTATTGTTTAAATTTTTATTTTATGTTGTCTGTTTTGAATGGTTTCACGTTCTTATGATTTTAGGGTGGGTCACTAACGTAGCCACCTCCACGTGGTGTGACCTGGTAATTGATATCGTTTTCTAAAGATAATTTTTACAAAGCGATATCAAGCTAAGAGCTACTAAAAAGAGATTTATATTTTTTTTAATTGGGAAACAATAGTTGAAATTCAGAAAAGTATTTTCGGTATTGCAATATTACCATATACAAAGTATAACTATAGTAATTGTATAATTCCTAAAAAAGGAACTTGTATGATTTCTAACTAATTACAAATGACTCCTTCTTTTCGAAGTCTGTTGAAAAGAAAATTAAAAGAAAATCACAAAATATGGAATTTAGAAAGAACGAAGTTGTTTGATACGCAATGGTAGAAAGAAATCAACCCTGGCGAAGATATTTCAAGCAGAGACGTTGTACATTGGAATTAGAAGTTTGGCCTCCACGCTATCATCGCCTTAACCAATGTTGGTATCTGAATCAATCATCAATTTCTTTTTTATCAACGCTGTATATTTTATCGATTAGAATCATCCGTTTCTTAAAACCCCCGACAGATGATGCTGTATGTTCACTTCATGCCATAAAGAATCAAAGATGTCTGTCATGTATGCCTTCAGTCCAACATCCGTACAGTTCTTGGGCCGACGCGACTAGGATAGAAATTTTCTTTTCGTTATGAGAAATGTTTGAGTGGATTTTACGGTCCCCTGTGTGCGCGTTGACGACGAAAAATGCGGATATTTCATGGTCACCGCATTTAGTAACGCGTGCGCATTTATGGTATTCAAGTATCTCGAAGAATTATAGCCATCGCCTAATAGATTCGGCCTAATCTCAACAGTTTCTCGTTGATTTCCTCGCTGAAGTTTTACCGCTTTCGCATCTTAAGAAGTTGCACAATATTCCACATCGAAATGTCTGATGACACGAGTGTACGAGTCGCTGTGCGGTAAGTAATTTAATTCATTAAAGAAAAAAAATTCGCCAAAATGATTTTTTTGAAAGACGCTCTTCGATAGAACAGCTATACATATTGTCGTAATCTAGCAAGATGATTTGTGCAGTGACATCTGATAAGACCAACAATATTTGATAAATAATCATTTAAACATTACCGCGAAATATCATTTAAATTCAAAGCGTACATCCTTCGATCTTTTTAAGGCTACGGCTTTTTCCCATTATTCTCATGAATTATGCACATTACGATACGTATGTTTTCCAGGGTATCTTATCTTATTTCTTTTTTGATCAGAAGTGTATTGTTACCGATTCAGTACTTACGATTGTGAAAGTCATTGGTTCTTGTCACACTTTCACGATTTTAGAAAATCCATATGTCATGTAAGACAGTTCCGTATTTCAAAAGGACTACAGATTTCTCGTGATATTTTTAATAAAATTATTCCACGAATTATGGAAGAATTTATTACGTTTATGTCATAATTATTCGGTACGGTGATGCAAGCTAATGTTTACGAAACTATCCTGCAGTAATTTTTCTAGGTTTAATTTTATCAAATTTGTTGTGAAATATTTCTATTGACATGTAAACTAAAACAAATTTTATGCTGAATATTGTTTTTCCCTCGTTCCTCTCCTGTTCCTCATTTGTGTTTTCAATTTGAATATTGATTTTTTCTTATGTTACTTTGCCATTAGAATGTCATCCGTGTCTTATTCTACGCAGTACTGCATTGCAAACTTAAATCGCATAATATCTCCTTTTAAAGAGTAAAGTGCGTAGGCTTTATTACCGGTTGTATAAAGAACGCGTGCCTTGATTTCCGATGAATGAATTTTTCTCCTCCCACCGCATTCCCTTCGTTTCTACGTAACTTATTAAAAAAAAAAAATTCTGTTTATCTCCATGTTTTAGTCATTATTTTTATTAATTACCATTTGCCTTCCACGTGATTGTTATTTTGCTATTTCTTTTGTATTTTTTATGTCTCCATAGCGCGCGGTTTTCTGTATACCATGTATACGGTAACAGCTGATCGATTCACATAACGTCGATTATGACATTCTATACGCAATCGTGATATAATACGATTGTATTACATATGCTTTGATTACCGCGCAAAAAATAAACATAAAATTTATACGTAAAGAAAAATAATTGTAATTAATGCATAATTTTATTTTTTGTAATTGTTAATTACAGAATAAGGCCTCAGGTAGCGCGTGAAGTAATTGATATGTGTAGAATATGTACACAAGTACCTCCAGGGGAACCCCAGGTCTTTCTTGGACCAGACAAGGCCTTTACATATGATTATGTCTTTGATACCGGTATTGGGCAAAGCATAATTTATGAAACGTGTGTTGCACGTTTGATAGAAGGTGCATTAGATGGATATAATGCGACCGTTCTTGCTTATGGCCAGACTGGCTCTGGCAAAACTTACACCATGGGCACTGGATTTGATGTAGAAGTCGATGAAACTGTGGTTGGCATTATCCCCAGAGCTATTAGACACTTGTTTGATGGGATTGTAGAGAAACAGAAACATGCCAGAGAATGTGCACAAATGCCTCCAGAGTTTAAGGTTTGACACACTTTGCTTAAGAAAAGTTAATATCAAAATTATTTAATGTTTAATGAAAATTTTGTAACAGGTTACTGCCCAATTTTTGGAATTGTATAATGAAGACTTAAAGGATTTATTGGAACCTGGTGGACCTAGAGGTGGTGCTAGAATTCATGAAGATACTTCTGGCAACATACATTTAGCTGGAGTAGAACCAAGAATTGTAACTAGTCCTGAACAAGCCTTAGAATATTTAAGACTGGGAGCATTGTCGCGTACAACTGGATCTACCCAAATGAATACTCAGTCATCAAGATCGCATGCAATCTTTACATTGCATATAAAGCAACAGAGATACATCAAAGTTGAAGATCCAGATGCTGATGTTGATACAAGTGGCACAGAACCAGCAAGTGAATTTGAAACTTTAACTGCAAAGTTTCATTTTGTTGATTTAGCTGGTTCAGAAAGATTAAAGAGAACCGGTGCCACTGGAGATAGAGCAAAAGAGGGGATATCTATAAATTGTGGATTGGTAAGATTTTTATGATCTTATACATAAGTTTAAGAAAGCAGTAGTCAGTTATTTTTATCATCCACTATAGTTGGCTCTGGGTAATGTAATTTCTGCGCTTGGGGACAAGGCAAAAAAGGCTCTACATGTACCATACAGAGATTCAAAATTGACTAGATTACTCCAAGATTCACTAGGAGGTAATATAGTGTTAAGTAAAGGTTGTTGTACTTGGTAATAATGTATTAATAAAATTATACTTAATGGTTGCAGGCAATAGTCAAACTGTTATGATAGCATGTGTCTCACCAAGTGACAGAGATTTTATGGAAACTTTAAGTACCCTTAAGTATGCGAATAGAGCGAGGAATATTAAGAACAAAGTCACAATTAACCAAGATAAGAGCTCAAGAACAATTGCTTCTCTTCGGCGAGAAATTCAGCAACTTCAATTAGAATTAATGGAATACAGACAAGGCAAAAGGGTTGTCGGAGAGGATGGTGTAAACGATGCTTGGCATGAAAATCAAATGTTAAATAGTGAATTGCAAAGTCTTCGTACTAGAGTAAAAGCTCTTTCGGAAACAGTTGAAGCACTGACGGCAAAGAATGTTCTTCTGCTGGCAGAAAAAGCTACTGGTCAGTGGGTATCAACGGATGGAAATAGCGAAGTAACAAGTTTAGTACAAGGATACGTTCGAGAGATAGAAGAGTTAAGGGCTCGCCTTTTGGAAGCAGAGGCTATGTATCAGCAGCTAAAGAAACGACAAATGCAGGTATATCATAATTCGTAAGAAACATCATATTAGACCTGTCCTCGTATTATTTTCATGTACCACATCTGTATAGGTCAATGCAGCAAATCCTTATGGCGATTCTGGATATATATGTCATAGCGATTCTGTGTCGATATTAAACGATGCTAAGAAAGAGGTTCAGAAAGAAATTGAAGCTTTAACCGCGTTACGAGAACAACATGCACAGACTATTAACACTGCCAGTAAAACAGGGGATGAAGGGGAAGGTGATGATACAGAAATGGCTCAAGATTCTGTAAGCGAAGACGAATCGGATGATGATTCTGATAGGAAAGGTATGTTTGGAGTTTGTATCGTTAAAAATAATTGATTACAGTATTTAAAAATCAATCGAGGCATAATACTTTGTAGAAGAGGATGAAGAAGAAGAAGCGATGGGCCGTGAATTAGAAGCGTTAACATCCGACATCGATGTAAAACAACGATTAATACAAGAACTTGAACTCTCCCAAAGACGCTTGCAAACGATGAAACAACATTATGAAGATAAACTTGCTCAGCTACAAGCACGAATTAAAGATACCCAGGAAGAAAGAGATAAGGTATTACACTCTTTGCAACAGCAACCAACCCCGCAAACAGAAAAGGTAAAAAAATTACGCGACGAATACGAGAAGAAACTTTCTGCCATGCAAAAGGAAATGCAACTTTTAAAGTCTGCAAAGAAAGAGCATGCGAGGTTGCTTAAAAATCAATCTCAGAATGAAAATAGGTTAAGAGGATTAAGAAACGAATTGGCAGAGATGAAGAGAGCAAAAGTGAAGCTTCTAAATAAAATGCGCGAGGAGGCGCAGAGACACAAAGAGAATGAACTAAGACGAAATAGGGAAATAGCACAACTGCGGAAGGAGAGTAGAAAGAATGCGAATATGATTCGTACGCTTGAGGCTGATAAAAGAATGAAAGAGGTGGTGCTTAGACGCAAACAAGAAGAAGTATCGGCATTGAGAAAAAGGGACAGAGGCCTTAGCCTGAAAGCTGCGGGCAGAGCACCGCCTAAGCCGATTAATCCAAAGGCATTGAAACAGAGGTGGCAAACGTTCGAGAGAACTATCGCGAAACAAGCATTGGCTAAACAAGCTGCAGCAGAAACGGAGAGAGAAATGGAAAGGCTTCTTCAAGAACGAGAAGAGTTGGGTAGGGAACTAGAAAAGCTTCAGAAGCACAGAAATGTTATAGCAAGTTCAAGAGGAGATACGAATGATATCGACGAAGAGATTGATAACGTCAAAAGTAAAATTAGTTATTTGCAGGTAAACATATTTTCATTTAAACAATGTATTATTGGCATCTTTTTGATAATATTTCTTACAGGATAGCATTGCCGAATGTCAACGTGACATGGTGGAAATGGGCGATGGAGAAGCTGAAGGCGAACCCGGTGTCGAAGCGCTTATATCGACGATTCAATCAGTAGACGAAGCTCAATATTTATTACAAAGAATGCTAGCATTCACCGTGGAACAAAGTTGCGTAGCCGCTCAAAAACAACACGAAATTCGTGATATGGAATCGCGATTAAATCAAGTTGCACAAGAAAGTGATGTACAACATCAGTTGCTAGAACACGTATTACGAGATAGAGATCTATTGTCTCTTACAAATAATCATCACAATACGTCGACTTATAGTCCTCTAAGTTCAAGAAGCTCGTCGCCAGATAAGTATGTAACGTTCTATTTTTTTTTTTTTTTTTTTATTATAAAAGGTAAATATTATATTAATGATATTTGATTTACTTGAAATATTAGTGAAAATTATAATCAAGTTATATTCGGAGAAGAGAAACAACGTAATAATAAAGTAAGAAGAAGAACTACACAACCTCAGGAACTTCTTTATGGCGTTCAAGCCAGTCAGGATAATTTGAAGACAGAAGATCAAAGTCAGAATCATAATCATCCACTCACGAGAGTACCGAGTGCGCCTGGTAGTTTAAAGTAGGTACAACGTTTTACTGATTTTTAAATAAATTTTACGATTTTGCAACACATAAATATTCACGTTTACCAGGGGTTTAGTATTAACAAGAAGTCAGCATAGTATAGGTGGTGGATCTCCGACTTTAAGTCGGCGCGATAGCACATCGCCAAGGCCATTGCGACGACCACTTCACCCGGGTGGAGGCTCCATGTGAGTGATAATTCTGCAACACGTTTTTATGTTTGTATTTTTTACGTATCTCTGTCTTGATGCACTGTTTTATGCACTACTGGTTAAATTTTTCTCTTAAAGAAGGTTGTATCATTCTCAAACAGATGCATTAATTATTTTATGATAAAACTGCAAAACAAAAGGAATATTACTGGTCTGAAGAAACATATATTTTATGATTTAATTAACTTAAATATTATGTTGTTCGTTATTTCTTATTTACATTTGCACAAAAAATTTCTATCATTTCATTTTGTTCGTATTAATTGTTTATTAAATACATCTACTAATGTACAAATTATACTACAAGGAAAAGTCTAACTTGAATTAAAATGCATTTAAAACTTCAATACATATTCGAAAACGTTGTTTGTAATAATAATACTTTGTTTAATATTGTTATTACTTGTATTCGATTAAGATTGTTTTAATTTAACATATTTAATGTATTATATTTATATATTTCTATTGTTTTGGAATATAAACATGTATAAATTTCAGAAAAATTTCTAATGTACGAAATATGTCATTTCGTGTAAAGATCATGAATTTGTATATATGTAAACAGTTATTTTGTACACATAATTATTAATAAATAAAAGCACACACATTCAATGTGCACTTATGACAATACTTATGAAAAGACCCTTTTGGTGGATCATTGTTTTCTTGTTTTAATTACTCTTTAATAAATCATGTACATTTTTTCATTGATTATACATTATTAAAATATTCTAATTCTATCAAGATTAATGTATAACATTATATTGCATCATAATATATACCAAAGTTAATACACTTACAATCTAATAATCCAAGTATTAATTAAATTTCAATCAATAATTTCGTTTTATAATGATGCACTTGCACGAGTTACATTGTTTTAAGTCGATATAGTTGGCAGAATTAGAACTGACAAAAAACTTAGCTAACTAACACGCTAACATAACAAACCCTCAACTAGGGAACAGGTAGCTCATACAGACGTGTCATCACCACCTGGATCACCAACTACCTACCGACGATTCAACAGTCGAGAAGAAAACGTTTTCTCTAGGCTAACTGCGAGTAGGCAACCAGCATCAACAGAACCACAGCCTATGAAAGGAATTATTTCTCAGTATCAAGGCAAGGTAAATTAATGGAACTCAACAATTTTCTTTAATTCTTATTATACAATTCTTTTCAGATACAACCAAGAGCGGTTTTACATTGTTCTCATGTAGCAGAGGGACACAGTAAAGCTGTTTTAACAATGTGTGCAACTGCAGATTTACTATTCAGTGGTTCAAAAGGTACAAATTAATATTAATGAATTCTAGCTTCAAACCAGTTAAAAGTTCATTGTATACAATATTATTTCAGACCGGACTGTTAAAGTATGGGATCTAGGAACAGGAATTGAAAACCTTACACTAACTGGTCATCCAAATAACGTGGTTGCAGTGAAATACTCTCCACTGCATGATTTATTATTCAGCGTTTCTTCAGCTTATGTAAAAGTTTGGGATTTGAGAGCGGGGAACAATTGTATTAAAACTCTATATTCGTCCGGCCAAGTCCAGAGTGGGCCGATCACGTTATCAACAACATCTAGGATGCTTCAACTTCCTGTCGGTGAAACAACTATCAATGATTTGGTACTTAGTACCGACGAACAAGAATTATATACTGCATCCAGTGATAAAGTTAGAGTATGGGATCTTCGTAAATTAACGTGTACTGGAAGATTAAGTACACCACACACGGCAGCAGTAATGTGTTTGGCTGTTGCGGAGGATGGTAAAGTGATAACAGGCAGCAAAGATCATTTGATATCCCTTGTTGAACCAAATACATCCGGTCAGTCGATCAGCCTGGCACCACCACATTATGATGGTGTCCAATGTTTAACAACTTGCGATTCAACCCTATTTTCTGGTACATCTTTGTCGAATTTATTTTCTTATTTCACATCGTAAGGTTGTGTTCAATTATAATTGATGTTATAGGGTCGAGGGATATGTGTATTAAACGCTGGGATCTGAGCAGGATGGAATTAGTCCAGTCGCTAAATAATGCACACAAAGATTGGATTTTAGGCTTGTGTATGGTTAACAGTGGAACTGTAATGATATCGGGTTGTCGAGGAGGAACATTGAAGGCATGGTCTGTACCAAAGGATCAAGGGGAATGTAGTCCAATAGGAGAAGTCAGAGCGCATGGTTCTGCTATTAATGCTGTAATAACTAATCAGCAACACATTTTTACTGCAAGCAAGTAAGTAATCTTTTTATGTTATTATTTATGTTAAACTGATCCGAAGCATACTGAAAGTATTTGAATTACGACGGAATTCAAATGCTCGATTATATGCAATATTCAATTTATTTTAAACGTGTGCTTGGGTTCAGTATTTATCAGAATTTTCTTAGATAGAATAACGTCTGAAATATTGATTGCAGCTCTGGGGAGGTGAAGCTGTGGCGTATTCCCGATTCCTCAATATCCATGTCTATTTCCACAGTTTCTCTTTAACTTATCTTTTTACTTTGCTGCATATTATTTTTTTGCATTTATAGGTTGTTGATGTGGTAATGCGCATGCCTGTCTAAACACACTTTGCTGTTGTTCAAAAGTGTGTGGACATGTCTGTCATAAAAGACCTGATATAAATGTAATTAAACAAAATTCTAATTCTTTACCAGATAACTATTAATAATTAACAATGTATTTAATTGTTCCTCTGTTTAGCAATCTTTTAAAATTATTTTTTTATAAGAAACTTATTCCTTTTTTTTTTTTAATGCTTCAAACACTGTACAAGGTGTCCGACTACGGGTGGACATCCTTTGAGGGGGCACAGCTCCCACCCCCTCAAAAGATGCCTACCAATAGTCGAACACTCGGTATATAATGTCAGTATTAAACTTATTCTGTTTTAATGAAAATTGAAAATGCGCTTTAGATTTGTATACATTTATTTATAATACACATTAGACTATTATACTTTTTGTTTTTATTGAAAACAATATGAAAAATTAATTTGTTTTTGTTTAAGCTATGTATATGAAGTATTGCTTTTTAAAAGTACTTGCGTGATTTAGTAGAAAAACTACCATTAATAGTGTGATTGCGATTACGAATGCATTGGATGTAAAAGACTATGTTTGACTGAATGAATTTTGTAGTAATGAATAACATTTTTTAATCATAATCTTGTATATCTATTAAACATGAGAATTTAATTTAATTTTTTATTACTTTGCTTCTATGTTGTTTACACTCCAATTTGGTGCTTTGCATGGTTACCACGTCGACGTGAAGTGACGGAACGGTGAAGCTGTGGAACTACTGTAAGAGAGATGCAAGAACTTTCCAGAGAAGCAACTCATTGAAAAGTTAATACATGCACCTAAGATAATGTATTTATTTTATGACTATAATATTTTTTATTTATTTGTTAATTTATAACACGATAGAATATTAATATGATAATTTGAAATGATAATGCACCTGACTTATTGCTTGCTGGTTTTGATATTTTATTTTTTGTGAACATGTATGTATAAATGTGTTTTTTGTTTTTACACGTCTTGTAACTTCAGTTTTGTATGTTACCGTCTTATATTATTTAATATAAGTATCAAATATTAATTGAATTTATAAACAACTTTTAAACAATAAACAGAAACATTTTTCATATAAATAATATACGGTCCAAGAACGTCATATTAAAAATTGAATTTAGCAAAAATTAAGTGCATTATCGCGAGGTAGTTCAGCATAGGATTGAAAGAAATTTATTTAATAAGAACAAATTTGGTATTACCTAGCATTTATTTTATTATGAACATTAAGGTGGTAATAATTATAATATTTACTTTTAGTACAAACAATAATTGTTGATTAATACTGTACAGTCTGAGGTCTCTGTAGGTCCCAAATGCTTGATATTGTCAGGGTTGGCTGTTATTTAGTTTTCTTCTAAAAATTTAAAAACAGTATTATGCTTAATTATATTTATAATTATAAAAAATAAATTGATTCAAATAATATTAGATGTGGTCTCTTTACAGTCTGTAAAATATATATAATAAAACATCGAACACATACCTTTTCTTCTTTTTGTGAGTTGTCAGTGATTCTTGACCACTATCATCAGCACTATCTTCTGATTGACTACTACTACTGCTACTCGAGGAGCTACTTGAAGAACCACTAGAAGAATCACTGGCAACACCCGTATCTTCTTTTACATCTATAGTTTCAGCAAGTGTTGCCAATTCTGGTTCTTTATCCCTGAGTACTTTTAACCATTTACGTGATAATTTTGGTCTTCCCCGCACCTATAAACAAGTTATTACGATATGTTTAAAATCTCAGAATTATAAGAATATAACGCACGGCTATATATTCGTAAATTCTTACAGTTTTATGCCACACTACTGGAAAATTTGTACGAGAACAGAAGTTCTGAGTAACTGCTATAGTATCATCGAGATTTAAAACAACATGCCACCAACCACCAGGAACAAACACAGTTTCACCCGGATTTTGTAAAACCTCTATTGGTAAACAATCTTGTGGCCAAGTAGATAACTTTGTACGAGGATAAATAATAGAAAACCACGTAATAGCTTCATCTCTTTGTTTACCCCCTTCAGCTGCAGTTACTTTGAGAAGCTCTCTAGGGGTGTGTGTAGGAAAGAGACACCATCTTTTGTGACCCGAAATCAGTGCATTCCAGGCACTGGTTCCTAATGGATCTATGTGTATCCCAGTACCTGTTTTTACATTATTTATTAATAATATGTTTTCATCCTAATTTGTATCCTAAATGTAACGAAAATACTTACCAGACCTAGCAGGTCCCATAACGAACCAGCGATATGGCGGTCTCCTGTGCTCACCAGCATATTGAAAAAGGTCATCGCGGAAATATATAGGTATAACATAATCTTCCAACAATTTTTTTCGTCTCGGATGTTCACCAAAGGAACTATCAAAGATGTACAAAGGTGAATCATCTTCATTATTAAGCATATAACGTACATAGTATTTCATCTTCATTTTTACACTATATCCTTCATTATCTTCTCCACATTTAAATTTTTGATTTCTGTATTTTTTGACTAATCTCTGTATGTTAACAGAAAACCATTACCAATAGCTTATTAATAATGTATTATACATTTGAAAATTATAAATCATATGATTATGAACCTCTATAGTCCACTTGTATTGGGCTTTCCAGCCATTTTGAACACCTTGAATTATCACAGGCTTGTAAGGTTTCTCATATTTTTTTATAAATTCTTCTGTAGATACTTTGGATTCTTCAATACGATCTACATTGTCCATAACGTTCCAAAAAGGTTCAAAATTTTTACTGTAGCCATGTTGAGTCCAAGCTACCTTATCTCCAAGTTCTAAACAAAATACTTCGTTTCAGTAAGAAAATAAATATTGTCTTAAATAGAATAGGACATTTTAACACAAGAATAACTTATTTTGTATAAGTAAGAGATTTTATTAACATTTAATGTTTATATGTATTACTGATACTTTATGACAATGAATACTTTATCCACATGTAAAGGTTGAATTAGTTAACTATTTACATATAAGTGCATCGTATTATTCTGTATCATAATACTTTCAGTAAATTTGGAGTTACATCATCCAAGGTCGGCAAAGACAGTTCGTTCTTGTATCACATTTCCAAATTCTGTTTATAATGACGAGCATCTTAAGAAGACAAACGTTGTCTCAATTACTTCTAGTGATACTAGTAATATAAAATAAGTTGTGAAGAAAGATTGTTTTGTTACAACTAATTTACGTCCATATCACGTCAACGTATAGGTTATGAATTAGGTTATGACATGTTTACCTGGTCTAGCCTTTCTCTTAACCTCTTTGATCCTTTTTTTTGCACGGTGATCTAACTTCAGTTCGTCTGTCATGGCTACACGTTTATTATATTATCTAATTAACCTACTTTCAATATATTTACAATTTACAATCAAGAAATACACGCAACACGTCATTCAGTGGTAACTGTACTTCTTAGTTCCCATAAATCCCGTAAGATGCATCAAAACATCACCCGATTTTTGATACATTCGATACAAATTTTTATCAATAGCTGGAGTGAAATACAGTTCTTTATTTTCATTTCATGGTACAAAATTTTGACAAATATACTTCCGGTGTTTTGAACACCTTTCTTCTTAATGACAGTAATAATATAAAGCAATACAATGTCAAGTTCTATACAAAATCTACAGAGGCGCTGATCCTTGCACGTGACTGCCTACGTGACAAATACCATGTTCTACCAATAGATCACCCTATAGATGTAATTGCCTTTTTAGAAATATCAATATCAAAACTTTTAGTTTAATAAATACATAACGGTACGTACACCATTTTTTATTCAACCCACGATAAGTTTAACTACCAAAAAAAATATATTATGCAGATGACATATACTTTGGTAATTATAATTTTTTTCCGACAAATAGATTTTTATAATTCCAAACACGTATTATCGCATTATGGTATCATATTCCACAGGATCATCTGTAACAATTGCATCGATTTAGTTAATGAATCGTGATATATCTAATGAATCTGTCATTTTATTAGAAACAGATGATTGAAGGATACAAAATAATAACACAAGCAAGAAAATTGTACCCGCGGTCGAAAGTTCAACGGTTCCCCGGACGCATGCGCATTAAAATAAGTTGGCGCGGAACACCCGGATGTGCTGCCGCATGAACACGGTACGGTAGAAGGAAGAGGCATGACGCCATGTTTTGATGTCGTCATCCCCCCCCAAACCGCTGTTTCTGCGAGCAGCACAATAGTCTGTCAGTGTTTTTCTGTTGTGTACCTCGTGTTCTGTGTTCCTGGTGGCCGTTTTGGCGTGCCTCCCTGGCCCTCTCCATCGTCACGTCGAAATTGAATGCTCGCCTTTGAGGCAGAGAGGCTTGGTCCCTGTGAGTTGACGGTCGCTGAAGGTGGCCCTTCGTGTCTTTTCATGTCCGGGGAAGTAACCGCGGAGCGGGGGGGGTCCACGAGCGTCGTCTACGTGGTGGTAGTGTCCTAGTGCGGGGAGGACGAGAAACCACCGATCCTCCACCGAACGGTTTATTAGAGTGGTTACGTCACACGATCCTTAGCTGGGCATTCGGAGGAAACGATTTACTAAAGAAGTGGACGACGACGACGACGGGGACGAGGACGACGGCCCTGCTAAAATGGAGCTGCGCCTGCATTCGCCAGCCGGAGCAGAACCGATCGTCTATCAATGGCCCCTTACCTCCGGATCCGGATCTGTAAGTTGAAAATTTGATAATTGCGCACTCGAGATTATTGACTCCGAGAAATACATGATATTTCGTATTGAGAGCTGGCCGTGTATGACCTGTCTTTTATCCCACATTCTCACAGCTGATCGTACATCTATCGCACGACGCGAAATCATTGCTCCATTATTTTGTCATGCTGTCACGTTTATTTTAGTTTATAATCCCACAATTTTTTAGTATTTCTTATTTTTCGTATCGTTTAAATATTCATGATTATCTGTATACACAACATAAAAGGTATTAAACAAGGATGAAGATTGCTAACATTTTTGTAAATTTTGTAAACATTTTATGATTCTTTCATTGCTCAGTCATATTTTAATAAAATGTTTTGTTCTCATGTAATACATAATACCATTGGTTTTATATATCGTGTCAACTTCTATGTAATGTTTGTTAGGAAAAAGATATTATTGTTTGAAAATATTGTACACTAATAAAGCAATTTGAAGTAAAGTGTGTTTATTTCTTTTAAGATAATGCTTCTGTTTTTATGTATAAAAATTATAAAATTTAATTGAATTGAATCTAACTGAATTTTATTAATTGTAGGATCGACACGATGGTGCACTTGATGTTGTCGAAACAATGCGGTGGGTTTGTGAGGATTTACCAGATTTGAAGCTACCATTGGAGAACAATATTTTGTGTGATTATGACACTAGAAATTATGAAAGTATGAAAAATTTATGCGACAGATTCAATAGAGCAATCGATAGTTTAGTTCAATTGGTAAGTTGGTATTTTAAAATTATTCAGTTGTCGTTTGATATTGCTGTAATTAATTGTCAACTAATCAAATATAGGAAAAAGGTACTAGTTTACCATCTCAGAGGCTGAATAAGAGACCCAGTAGAGGTTTATTAAGGCATATACTTCAACAGACATATAATCAAGCAGTGGTGGAACCAGATAAATTAAATCAGTATGAACCCTTTTCACCAGAAGTGTACGGCGAAACAAGTTATGAGCTAGTATGTCAAATGATTGATCAGATTGATGTAACAGAAGACGATGTATTTGTTGATTTGGGATCTGGAGTTGGTCAGGTGGTTCTTCAAATGGCAGCAGCAACTTTGTGCAAAATTTGCGTTGGCGTTGAGAGAGCTGATGTACCTTCGAGATATGCACAGGTATGCTGTTCTTTTAACAGGTTTCTAGCACTGTCATCTAGTAATCGCAATTTTTTATGTGTACAAGCTTCTTATTTCTGTCAAATATTAGAGTATGGAAGTAAACTTTCGTAAATGGTTGAATTGGTATGGAAAAAGATGCGGCGAATATCGTTTGGTAAAAGGCGATTTTTTAGCTGACGAACATCGTGAAAGCATTACTGGAGCTACAATAGTATTTGTCAATAATTTTGCATTCGGTCCGACGGTGGATCATCAGCTGAAAGAGCGGTTTGCCGACTTGAGAGACGGTGCACGTATTGTTTCGTCAAAATCATTTTGTCCCCTCAATTTTCGCATAACGGATAGGAATCTTAGCGGTAATGTGCTTCGTTTCAATGAATCGAAGTTACACACATGTGGTTAATTAATTGATTTTCTTTATTTTCAGATATTGGTACAATAATGCACGTCTCAGAAATGTCGCCGCTAAAGGGTTCTGTATCTTGGACTGGTAAACCAGTGTCTTATTATTTACACGTAATTGATCGTACCAAGT